TCTCTGTAAGTTTTCGAGATTTAGCGATAGAATCTTGTCGTGATAATATTCCATGAGTTCGATTAAGCAATGTCGTATAAGGTACTTTATAGATCCACGCAACCTTCTTAACTTTTAAATGTGGGTTCGTACGAAGCGTATTTAACGCAAGAATCATATCAGACTCTGTCCAATGCTTAACCATTTTGTTTGTTAAGAAAAAACGCGCTCTGAATAAGTTTGTGGAGTGCCAGAAAAAAATCCATTTCGCTTGGGAATCCAACTCGCTTGTGGACTACGTTATAGTCTTTATAACTAATTAAAAGTTTAATTAATCTATTACTTATATATTTAAAGCTTTAATAAAGGTTGAGAATAAAGGTTAATTAGTACTATATCTTAGTAGAATACTATTTAACTAATATATAATATTAACCTTTTAACCTTTAAATATTAGATATTAAAGAATTTAATATTACTTAATTAAACTATATTTATTTAATAATAGTTTAAATATACTTTAATACTAATATAGCTTCTAGACTTTATATAGCTCTAAATATATAGTATATACTTATTTAAACTTATATTTATTTAAAACTCTATTTAATATTAAAGAAATATATTTAAGAAATATAAGTTTATATTTACTCTTAGTTTTATAACTTTAAACCCTTTATAATATAAAACTTAGTATATTTAATAGTAATAGTATAGAATCGAGTAACGTATAATAATATAATAAATAAAAGTATTTATATTCTAAAAGAACTAATTACTAACCTAATAAAACTTAATTATTATTAAAATTAAATTAAATTAGGATTTAAAAGTAAGTAGGTTATTATAATTAACTAATTTAAGTCTAATAACGATTTAACTATTTAAATACTATCTAAGTAATATATTATTATTAGTAGATAGTTACTTATAAACTTACTTTATGAGACCCTAATTAAAAGATATTTAATAGTACCTTAATTAAAAAATATATAATAAAGTCTTAATTAAAAGATATATAACAAGGTCTTAATTAAAAGATATATAATAAGGTAATAATATTTAATAAGACCTTAATTAAAAGATACTTAATAAGCCCTTAATTAAAAGATATATAATAAGGTTTTAATTAACTTAAAAGATACGTAATTACTAATAAGGTCTTAATTAAAAGATACTTAGTACGGTCTTAATCAAAAGATACCTAATAAGGTACTAATTAAACAATAATTAATAAGGTCCTAATTAAAAACCACTTAATAAGGTAGAGACAGGCGGTAATGCGAGCTTGCGAGCATCGACTGACTCGTTCCTCACAAACTCCGAAATTCCGATCGTGACAACCTCATTGATTGCAATTACCACCGATTTGAAGTCATTCGACCAAAGTAGCTGGATACTTTCCTCGTATATTCTTGGCTACGTTAGTAAGTTTGATATCACCAGAAAAGCTTTTGCCTTCAACTACTGAAGTTTCCGGTGTAGGTATGGTTATAATCTGGTCGAAGCTCAGTGATATCTTGGGACGAAAAGTCATTGCTTTGACTGTCTTGACAATCTTTACAGCTTTCTCTGGAGCATGTGGGGCATGTCAGACTATGAATCAACTGTGAGCTTAATTAAGATATCCTGTAATGTTTTCTGTCTCTAAATGATACTGATACAGCATAATATTCCGAGCTGTTCAAGGATTAGGTGGTGGTGGGAATTTCGCTCTCGGGTCAATCATCTTCGTGGAGCTGGTTCCTAAGGAGTTGTATCCCAACTACACGAGCGGAATTTCGGTTGTATTCTCCTTATCTCTTCTACTTGGGCCAATTGTTGGAGGGGCTCTAAACAAATCGGACAAGTGGCGATGGGTGTTTTTGCTCAAGTTAGCCATTTTTCTCAATTCCTCTACCTTTTGAATCCGGAAGCTGATCGATTTGGTATAGCGTGCCCATTGGATGCATGTGTATAGCAGCAATCGTTTTATGTCTTCCAGCAGACTTTCCTAATCAAGGCCGGGAAGCCAGTGTTCAACACGATCATCGAGGGTTTCGTGCTTTATGGAAGAAAGGGACATTTTTGAAGGTCGACTTCATCGGCGCTGGTGTACTTCTTGTAGCTACTACATTCCTCGTAGCTGCTCTTGAGGAAGCAGGACAGGATTACGCGTGGAATTCGGCATTTGTGATTGCTTTGTTGACAATCTCAGGGGTTATGTGGTTGGCATTCGTATATTGGGAACGAATGCACACATTGAGATCCAAACACAGTGAGCCCGTGTTCCCCTGGAGACTTATGACTAGTCGAGTATGGGTAGGAATCATCTTGTGAGTCTGCAGATATATCCTAATGTAATAGCTTTGTCGCTAACCACCAATCACTGGTAGGAATGGTCTCTTTCTAGGCGCACCATGGATTGTCACCATTTTCCAGCTTCCTCAACGATTTCAAGTCGTGAATCACGCTACTGCTCTTAGTGTAGGACTTCTTCTTATCCCTTTTACCGTCGCGTGTCCATTTGGATCTGCTATCAGTGCCACCATAGCGGGAAAGCTTAAAGTGCCTCCTCTATACATGGTGATTTGCGCTTCATGTCTGCAGATAGTTGGGTTTGCACTTCTATCTAGTTTACCTTTGTCTATCGAAGAATCCAGAGCACAATATGGATACCAGGTCATTGCTGGGCTTGGAGTTGGAATAAACATATCTACGTTGATCATAATGGTACCCTGTTCGATTAAAGAAAAACGAGATCTTTGTAAGCTCCCTCCTCAAAAGTACCCAGACTGCTTTTCTAATCTTTCATTACCAGCGGTTGCTCTCGGATCTCTCTTCCATTTTCGAATTATGAGGGGTGTCATAGGACTCGCTATAGTCACAGCTGCGTATAAAGGTTATGTTAATTCGCACTTGGAGGAATTCTTGACATCAGAGGAGCGAACTCAGCTCCTGATATCAGTTGAGAACATATCTTTGTTCGATACTAAAACAGAGGACCATATTCGGTCGGTGTTTGCTGGAGGCTATAATCTTCAGTTCCGTATATTAATTGCATTCTCTGCGGCGCAAATACCGTCGTCATTCCTGATGTGGCAACGGAAGCAAGTTCTGATTTGAAATGTCTCGAAATAGAGTGTTGCAAGATATAAAACGGTGGCACAGAACGTTGGCAAGGCTGGAAATGAACTGAGATGGATTTAAACCCCCATTCTTTGACTCACTCCCTTGAAGTGATTAGTTGATTTCGAAACCAATACAATATCCTTCCTACTGAGCGTACAATGCCTTCTGAATCACACTAATTACCACCCTGACCGCATTTTGTACTCCAACTCTGTGAGAGTTGTTAAGGATACATGCGTTACTGTGTGATGTAGCAAACGTGAAGATATGAAGTACTTACGCCCCCTGACCGTCTGCTGCAGAATTTAAATGAGTCTGGTGAATAACGGAAAATTGAGAACCAGTTTATAAGCTATGAAGCTATTGAAAAGTGGATTCCGTCCAATAGAAGGTGATAGGATGGTATTCTTGATGTAACTGTTGGTATGACCAACCAACAACCAACAGAACAACGACGACTACCTTGCCTCCCCATCGTACCTTTCAAAACAGCCAGATAACATACCAAAGATAACAAGAGCTCCCAAGATGACGTTCGCAACAGTGGACGGAGTAGCCCCCATCACAGGAGTAAGACAGCTTCCACGGATCTACAAATACACACACAGAATATTCTAATCCACCACAGGCCGGTGCAGGAATCGGCGGAGAAACAGGCTACGCCTTCGCAGAAGCAGGTAAATTTGATTCCTCAAAGTCGAGGCTCGAGACGAGTCCAAATTCAGCTTGGACTTTGCTCCAATTGACCATACTCAAAAGATTCTACTGACTCTGATACAGTGTGCCATAGGAGCTTCAGGCGTGGTTTTCGCGGATATCAACTATGAAAACGCCCTCGCAAACGCCGAGAAAAGCAAAGCCCACGCAACAAATCCAAACTACCGAGCAATATCAACACAAGTCGACGTCAGCTCCCCCGAAAGCGTTCAAGCAATGGTAGATCTCACAGTCCAAGAATTCGGGAGGATCGATTACAGCGTAAATAGCGCGGGTGTAAGTTTATTCCCCTTCTTACACTTACATCTCTAACGATTCCTCTTGTTTGCAGCTTGGAGCCACGTCTCTCCTTCCAACCCAGGATGTCGACATCAAGAACTTCGATGGGACGTTCGAAGTCAACACCAAAGGCGTTATGCTATGCGTCCGAGCGGTGTGCAAAGTTATGATGTCGCAGGAACCACGTACGCATAAGGGTCGACATGGCAAGGAACGTACTCTGGGTCGTGGGTGTATAGTCAACCTTGCTTCTGCTGCTTCCTATCTCGCGGCACCGCACATGATGGCGTAAGCACCACTTCCCATCGACCGATAGCTAGAAGAATACTAACACCTGCGTATCACAGTTACGTAGCATCCAAGCACGCAGTTCTCGGCATCACAAAAGTCGCATGTAATTCACTTAACACCTCAAACCTGACGACCTGACGGAATCACACTGACTCAAAGCAGATCTAGACATGGCAAAACACAATATCCGAGTAACAGCCGTCTGTCCAGCATACGTCAACACCCCAATGTTCGAGCGTAGTAAAAAGAGGGTCCCGGGATTGGAGAAAACGATAGCGGCCGCATCTCCAACGGGCAAAGCAGCAGATACAGAAGAAGTCGCAAATGTAGTAGTGTTTCTTTGCAGTCCATCTGCAAGTTATGTTAGCGGTACGGGCATCATTATCGACCAGGTATGTGCACGAGTTCTCTCTTAGATTGCGCAGATTCGCTTACAAGACCATAACTAACATCCACGGTTTACAGGGTGTGTCTGTGTCTGCGCGCATCTGAGTCCATGATTACGGCATCTTGAACCTGCGGAAGGCCAGTGACTCCTAGATCGCGATTTGCGAAAGTTGGTTTTCGGAGAGTACAGTACATACATGCCAATATAGGAGATTTAGAAAACAGAACCAAAACAATCACATTCAACCCGAAGTAGCTCAAATACAAGTAGAGTACTGTCAACTATGCATTAGGTAAAAAAATTCGAACTCTCATACTCTACGCAAGTAGATCACGCTAGCCTAGCTACATGACAAGACAAAAGAGCTGCCTAGGCAAAGGAGCAGTCTATTCACCAACACGTCGTCGCCAAGCAACAACAACAACACCAGTCCCAAATAAGCACCACCCCCCTAAAAGAGTCAAAATAATCCAAAAAGAAAAAGCCCCGCAAAAGCTTAATCAAATTAAGGAAACTCAGACACCATTTCTGGTCGGTTTATTACTTCTCCCGATAGGCTGCGGGGTCACAATTTTATGCCTTGTCATCGGCGCTTTCCCAAGTGTAATGCGAACGTGATGGGAACCATCAGGTTGAATACGATGACTGGACTTTTTATTTGTGGTTATACAGGCAAAACCTCGGAAGGGGGTTGTGGGTACCCACAGTGGAGTCGCGACCAGTTCGACTATCTAGGTAGAGTGAATAGTTAGAGTGAATTCTTAGAGTAAATAATACCAAGGACAGAGAGAGGGGGATATACCCAATACTTAAGATAGAATAGCGTACATTGGAACAAATTAAGAGACCAACTACTAGCTAGCTAGCTACTTAATATAACTAATTCTTAAACTACATCTACTTTATCTTAGGTACGCTTAATTCTTAGTATATAGAGTTACAATCTTCTACTATACCCTCTAGGTGTTGTAATACGTCGACGTCGATGTTATAAAAGACACTTAACACAGTACTGAACACATACTCAAATCCTCTGTGTTACAATTACTCGGCCACTTAAAGACACCAATCTCACCCTAACATCTCTATCCACCGTCGTATCATAAAAATCCATACTTCCAAAAAGATCTCCATCCGTCCATCCACCCACCCCAACCACCCCAACCTCCCCCAAAATAAAACCCATACCCCCTTCCCCTCTATACATAAAACCCACCACCCCCAACAAAAAAACAAAATCCACTAACACTACAGCCCCCGGACAAGCCTACAAAAATGCCCACCCAGAAGCACAGCTAGCATAAAAAAAACAGCACACTAGCACACACCAAACTCACCACAATGACCTCGACCCTCGGAACCTCAGGTATGGTCTGGCTCCCCGCCGCCGTCGAGAAGTTCTGCGACTGCGCGTTGCTTTTCGTGTTGCTGGTTGGTTTGTGTGTGGGTGTGGTGAGGGTGGTGTGTGTTGAGGGCGAGGAGCTCGCTACGAGGATGGAGGTTGGGAGGTTGGAGTCCGAGTTGGATGGTGGGGAGGAGGTGGGGGAAGGGATGGGTGTGGGTGTTGGTATAGGGACGGGGATGACGGTTATCTCGCTGAGGATGGAGGGATCTGGTGACGTTGTTGGGATTCCAATTGGACTGGTCTCTGAGGGTACAGGAGAGAGTAGTCCCGAACTCGTAACGAGTGATCCAGTCAAAGCAGGCGTCAACACAAGACCAGCAGACCCATGAATGACATCCCCCATATTCCCACAAAACCCCTCCCACGCAGCCACAGTAGCAAAAGTCCCCGGGGCCGCAGTCCTCGCAACACGATTACACGCATCAACCGCATCATCAAAAACAGCCGGGGCCCAAGACCCAGCAGGTGAGTAACAAAGACACCTCGCCTTCGCCCAATTATCCATCATCGCAAACCCCGGCGACGCCACCGCACACCCCCCCTCCAAACTCCTCATCGCACCACACGCCGACAGTACCACCGCCGGAGTAGTCGTAGCCAGCGCCCAAGTAGTCGTCGCAACATTACTCGCCGGTCTCGCCACATCCCCAATCCCCGTGCAGAACCCCTCGATATTAGCGAGAGCCGAGTACGCAGATGTGGCGCTCTCCGAGGCGAACGCAGCACACGATTTGACCGCCGAGTCGAAGAGTGAGGGTGCCCACGCGGTGCTAGAGTAGCAGAGACAGTGAGCTTGCGAACTGGGATCGAGGTCTTTGAAGTTGCTTGTGAGGGATCCGCATATTGCGAGGGCTTCCCCGAGGATGAGACAGGAGGGGTTGTCTTTCAGTTGTGCGGATGCGAGGGTGGGAGGTGAGGTTGGGGATGGTGGTGTTTGTTGGTCGTCACGAAGATTGAGAATGTGTGCTGAGATGTCGAGCAAGAGCAGTTGCAAGGTGAGAAAAAGATATCGTGTGTTCATGGCTGGTAGTGCCTACCGAGAGCTCAGGTGGAGTGGAAATCGTGCAGAAAAAGAGAGGATTTGTTTAGATGACTTGTTTACAGATCACGAATCTTTAGAGGCATGTGGAATAGAAGGCGCAAGTGATCGGCTTTATAGTTGTTTATAGAGATTGTAACTTCCCAAAGCAGTACATACTCTTCGTACTTTCCTCCGAGTTACGAAGTCTGGTCGGTCGTGCCTGCAAATCTAGTAAGCAGGCAGACAACGAGGTCATCAAAGCAGAAAACTCACACCTATCAAGGAGTCTTTGAATCACTTCATGCAAAAGACGAAGACTGAGTTGATAAAAGCATTTCTTCATCATGATTTGTAGTCATATCTTTTCGTCCTACCAAGCCATGTTCCCATCCTGAATTGGAAGCGTATGTACAAAATAATATACCAGGAAGCCAGACCCTTAGTTGCCCTTGGGGTACATTTCTTCTTAACCCCCGAGGACGCCAATAAAACAATGCTGTCATACAAAATCGTCCTCTCAATAACAAGAACAAACGCTATCTTATCTATCATTCCAAGTTCATTGGCACCGCCAATCCATTCCACCTCATCATTCCGTCCGATAGAATTTCTTGTACAGCAAATGCAAGAATAAATTAACATTAAGTCTCATTCCCCCTTCGAACAAATCCATGTACTGGTGATTGGCAAACTGAGCGGCTAAGAGGCTGTCCATTGGCACTTGAGCACTGGCGCCAGGAATTTGAATGCTTCCTTTGCTACCTTCGATGAAGAAGACGCCAACCTCGTCGCAAGAAATCGTGAGGTTGATTTTTTCCCAATCCCGATCTTGCGTTCCTCTCCAGGAAACGAGCACGCCCTTGTCAGAAAGGGTGCGTGCTGAATATTTGAATGATCCAAACTTGGGCTTGCGACCAGAACGCTCGAGCTCGCGTTCGTGGTTGTATTGTTTGGAAAACGGCATGAGGAAACGTTTTTTGCTAAGAAAAAAAAGTCAGTGTCTGGTTGAAGTTAGATGAGATGTATACATACCCTTTCTTCTGGAGAGTCATCATTGCCTGCTCAATGTAGTTGTCGTAACTCTTTCTTTGAGATTCGAGCCATTCGGCCTTTTCGCTAAGATTTCCCAGGGTGAGTCGAACGCCTTCCAATTCGCGCTGTCGTTGCACACGCCTTCTGCTCTTTGTTCGAATATCCAAGGCGATGGCGTTGAGAATATCCTGGTAATAATTGTGCCTTGAGATACGACCAAATTGCTCCAGTCTCATGATGTTCTCCAATGCTGTACGTTTCAATTCCTTATATGACATGGCCTTAATATCAACCAGTGTGTTTGCGTCCGAGTAGGCACCCCGAGTCTTGCTATCGGAAGAAAATTCCTCACGGAGTAATGAATGCCATTTTTGGTCATCCTCTCGGGTGATGGGACGAACTAAAATTTCCATCAAATTTGGACCTGACTGTACTCGAATGATGTAGAGGATGCATCTTTTTGTCTCCATGAAGAGGGCCTTGACTTCTGCTTCGGGGTCTTCAATGTCATGCAATTTAGGATTTAGGGTCATTTGTATCTCGCCCGTGGCAACTCCCAACATTTCAGTTTCGTTGACCTTCGCGCTACCAAGTTCCTGGATCATTTCGCGAAGCATGTCGTCTCGGTTGGGGCAGATGTGCGGCAGATCCGCAGCGACAAGGTTATGGATCTGGAAAATGTCTGCCATTTTGATGTACAAAGTTGGCTTGACCTTGGCGTAGAGATCATTAAATTCGTCAATGTCAAAAGTGCTCTCTGCGTCGGGAACGGAAATTATGTTTGAGAAAATAAGACGGATTCGTTCAATGGCATCACCGACGTAAGCATTTAAGGGTTGCAAGTATATGTTTTCGCCTCCGAAAAGGCGGCCGGATGCGACTTGCCCGAGGACCTTTGCAACTTCACCCAAATTCCGCCTCTGGAGTGGAGTGAGTTGTTTTTCAATTACCCCCATAGATTCGGGGGAAGTGAGTGCCGGCTGCAGGTAGAATTTCCACAGCCAGTTACCGACAAGATGTAATAGACGCTCTTGGGATTCTCGTGGGAATTGTTGACATAGAGCATCAAAAGTTTGCTCGCAAATGAAGCGAATTCCATATGGCATTCTGTGTAATAAGCCTTGTAGAGCAAGTAGGAATTGGTCTGAGATCTCGCGAAGATCTCGTAAGTGATCAATGAACATATCTCGGGTCTCGGGGTCTTTGATAGCAACCTCTCGAGGGATGTCAAGGGGCCGTTGACTAGGTCTCCCTGTTCTGAGCTCTTCGTTATTGATGGCCGAGCGGTAAATCTGCATTGGGTCGCTTTCCAGGTCGAGAGCTGGATCTTCGATGATATTGGTTTGAATGAGAGGACCAAGAATCTCTCGGAGGTATTTACGATCCCGTGGTGAACGGGTATAATTTGCAAGGAGTTTGCACCAGAAGAAATTGCCCCTGGTATACTCCTGGATGGACGTAACGCCTTCGACTTCTTCCCTCACTGCCCGAGCAATCAATTTCAACAAATAGTACTCTTCACGTCGCTTCTGGGCATATCCAAACAGTCGCATCATTAATGTCTCAATTTGCTTGCAGTCTTTTTCCGCTGTTCCTTGTTCTCGAATTCTCTTGAAATAACGAGCAAGATATTGAGGTTGTGTTTGAAGGGTAAAGAATAACTGTTGATAAGACTCGAGCTTTTTTCGGGAGTTTTTGTTCAAGGCCTTGAGATCGAATTGGTTGCCAGAGCTCAAGGTTGAGTTGACCAAAAGGTTACCAGAATGCCCACCGAAATTTCTCTGATGCTTGACAACTTCGTCCAAGGTGATTTTGTTCTTGACAAGCAGAGCAATCTTTATATCGAGCTGATCGATATATTGCTCTGCCATTTCATTTTGGCGCACTTGCTGAACAACTGTTTTTCGTAGCCGTTCGAACTCAATTTCCTCGTTGAAATCAAAGTCACTATCATTAAGGAGATGTACAAAGTTCTTCACCGTGTTCACAGGTGGGTTCTTGCCAGTGGTCAGACTCTTGTACGCCTCTCCTTGTAACCGACCGCGAACAAAACTCTGAAGTTTGACGACCTTCTCCATATTTTCTTTGAAATATCGCTTCTTCTCGGCAAATCTGGCTCTCACCAAGCTTGCTTTGGCTGCAGCTTGGAAGGCGATGATGGATTCTTCTTCGGACTCAAGTTCGACGAGGACATTACCAACATCAGCCCGGAGAAGAACGGCACGAGACAAGGCTTGAAGTTCAACAATCATTTCTGAGTGTGAATCAAGCTCATCGAGAAGAGCTCCAATCTGCTGTCGCTGTAGACATCCTCGGGCAAGAGCTTGAAGTTGTGTAATTTCTGGTGTTTGAGAGACAAGCGCATCGTAATCAGCGGCAATCTTTTTCCTGAGTAGCATACCCCGGATGTTGTTCTGGACTTCCTGCACCGATCCCTCGGTTTGGTGTAATTCTTCCAAGATATCTGATACGCCAAGTCGCACAACGGCACCTCGAACCCACGACTGCAATGTTATGATTTTTGCTTTGTGTCCATTCAGTTTTTCTTTAGTTGCTTGGACCTCCACTCGCACTTCGTTTCCTCGAATTATGGCTTGTAGGGACGTCCACATTGGCGACGAGGCCTCAAGTCTATCTCTCTGCCTCGAGATCTGATTTCTGGTCAGCATGGCTCGCGAGAAAGCCTGAATTGCACTAATTGATTCTTCTTCTCGCCAAAGTTTGTCGTGGTCATCAGCTACGCGTTTTCGAAGAATCATGCCTCTGACAGCAGCCTGCAGCTCTTTCACCGGGCCGGACGAGTCCTGCGTCTCCTGTTTCTGGACTGCCATGCTCTTCCTAGACAAGAAACCCCGAATACTTGCTTGTAACTCGCAAACCCCTTCTTCTTCTCTACGTAGGAGTGATTTCGCCATGCATACCTCTCCGCGGGCTTTTTTCCCCCGCACTAAATTCTGAAGCATCACAACATCAGCTTCTCTACTTTTCCAGAAAGATTCTCGGCTATTTTGTCGCTGGCGAACTAAGAACCCTCGAGCACCACTCTGCAAATTGATTGCGAATCTTTTCATGCTAAGTCGGTACTCAGCGATCTGCCGGGAAAAGTCGCCCCGGATTCTCGACTGCAAATCTACCAGCATATCTTCCGAGTCCCATAGTCCCTCCATTATACGGGTACATCGCATGCGTGTGGCTGCGCCTCGCATCTGTGCTTGAAGGTCGATAATTGCGAACTCATTTTCTCCCAATTCCCGATTGATACGATCCTCCTCACTTTCTACCGGCTCGGGCTCTGGCTCTAGCTCTGGAGTTGGTTCTACTCCAAAGTCTGCACTCATATTTCCAAAGCTGGGCATACTGACACCAGCCTTATCCAATCCTTTTTGCATAGCCTCCAATTCATGGTGCTCAAATTCCAATTGACCAACCAGATTTCCAATCCTAAAATCAACGATTCCTTTTCGGAATAAAAGCCAACTCAGAGCGTGAATACAATAAATAACTTTTGGGATGTTCTTCTTCTCGTACAAATCGATTAGCTCAAAACGGAAGAGGTCGGGTAACTCTACTTCAGCAAGAAAGCGAAAGAAGATGGCGATGTTATCGGAATGGCGAAATTGTAACTTTGGACTCCGGAAAATGCGAAGTCGACGCTCAGGGTAAAGAGAGTCAACCAACTCTGCCAACGTCACGCCATCTCTAAGAGCCTCTTCAAGTTGTACAATTGGAGGTATTTGACGCTTGAGAATATCTTCCATCCATTCTTTAGCTTCTCCGATATGGCACAAATATTCGTATGCTTGTAAAAACTGTCGTTGCTTGTCCATCCAATTTCGACCTTCCCAACTATACCCACCACTTTTTTTATTCGAAATGGCATTCTGGTCGGTCCCGCTTCTCTGCAGCTTTCTTCTTCCATGTAGACCTACAACCTCTTGCGCTGGAGATGTGATACTGAAATCTTCTGGCGCCCCAGTTTCAGCGAACTGAGACAAGGTACGCAATTGGCTGGTGCTGGATCTTTGCAAACTCTGGAGATCAGGCGCATGCAAAGGGCTATGGGCGTGCTGGGTAGTGGGACTCCTTCCAGAAAAAGAGGGGCGGCCCGAGTCGGCGCGGCTCAAAAACAGAGAGGTGGGTCGAATGGCAGGCGCAGGTGCGGCCGAGGGCGAGTTCTTAAGGTGGTCATCAAACTGCGCTTTAGGGATGCTATAGCTCTGGCCTCGCGAGTGGCCGTGTCCAGGACTGCCAGTGCGAAAGTTAGGGGGAACGGCCGGCGCTGGTGTCGCAGTGGGCGAATTGTTATGGTCTTCAAATTGGGCCTTTGAGTTGCTAAAACTCTGCCCTCGCAGGTGAACGAGTCCAGGGCTCCCGGTACGAGGACTGCCTGTGCGAGATGCAGGCGTTGGAGAAGCTGGTCGTTGAGGCAGTGGCCGGAGGGATTGGCGGGCACTCTTGAACGGACTTTCAGGATTTGATGGTGAGTGCGTCCGGTCGATTTTGTTCTCGATACCGGGGGATCTTGTACTTGTCCGCATGCCTGTTGCCTCGCTCATTCCCCTCTTATGCCCGAACCCGTGTCCTGATGCTGCGGATGATAGAGTGCTCGTCCGACTCAGCTCAAAGAAGCCTGCAGAGGAGTTTGAATATGCGGTGGAGGCTGTTGACGCGTTGGATGGTTGACGTTTGGTGGGTGAAGAGGGCGAACTGTAGTCAATATTTCCTGTTTGGCGAAGGGAAGATTGGTACGACATGCTGGCGTCGTTGCCAATGAGGATGAGGTTGGAGCTGGGAGTGACAAGGTCTAGAGTGATTATCGTGATGGGAGCATCCGCCCAGCAATACCTCTACTCTACTGGGACTCGCTATGTGCACTTGCAATGGGTACCTCGTCGACCTCGTCACATTATATGGTCGTACAAGACCAATAGCTCCGAATTGTTATCGCTGGTGTGGTGGTGCAACGACGCGGCTGGGGGTGGTGTTTTCTTGGGGTTTGTTGATATTACGTATCGTCTATCGTGCTGTACGAGTACTGCGGACCAAAATTCAGACAGCGCGCAGCGCAGAAGAGGAGATAGTGAGAAGAGGGAATGATGATAGCGGCGGAGTGAGGTAGAGGAATGCTAGCCAGGGACGGATTACTGGTACTGCACAATGTATCAACGGAGAATTACGATGAGGATTTTGCAAGGTGAAGGTTCACTTCCGGCGGGTGGTGGCCAGCAGAACGAAGGAGGGGAAGAGCAGCCCACTGAAAGAGGAAAAACACCCTTGTGGTTGGCCGGGCAGCCGAATGTGCTCAGGTGTGGTTGGCACCATCATCTGATTTTCAGTGGCAGGGCCATGGGGGTTTGTCCCTGTTCGCGACTTGAGCTTCGTACCGTGATCTACTTTAGAGTTTTCTGGTATTAATATGAAGAGATTCAGATGAAGTTTATACATCAACAACCTTCTCCAATGACGGAATTGTTGATGTTGTTGCAATTGGTCTTTCCTTGTTGACCCACTCGACATCGCCGCTCCCGGTTTCATACCGACTCGGCCCGAGAAGCGAGATCGGAGGAGACCACCCGTGCCCCCTCCGCCAAGCCGGCGCGGAAAGACGACGGCGACGGCTTCCTTAGCGCCTTCCGCCCATGTACCCCACAGTTTAAGGGCAAATTTTTGAAAAGTTCCTTTGAATGTCTTCCTCTTCCTTTTGGGAGAAGGAAGACCGCCAAACCACCCTCGACCTTCTACCCCGCCGTGCCTTCCCTTTTTTCTTGCGATCCCAAACTTAGATCCCCTTCGTTAGATCTCCTATATCTGCCACCGTCCGGTCGACCCGTCAAGATGCCTCACACCAACGGTGTCAAATCCGCTGCCGAGTTCTTTCGTGGCGAGCTTCTCGACCCCTCCAAGGCTCTGGAGGTTCTCGACAGCTACAAAGAGAAGGATGGTCTCGATGTCAAGTCGCTCCTCGACTCCAAAGTTCACGGTGGTCTCACATATAATGATTTCCTCATTCTTCCTGGCTACATCGGCTTTGCTGCCCATGAGGTGGTTCTAGATTCGCCTGTCACCAAGCGCATTACCCTCAAGACCCCCTTTGTCTCTTCTCCTATGGACACTGTGACAGAACACGAGATGGCAATCCACATTGCGCTGCAGGGTGGTCTCGGTGTTATTCATCACAACTGTTCGGCTGATGAACAGGCCGAGATGGTACAGAAGGTGAAGCGCTTTGAGAATGGTTTCATCCTGGACCCTGTCGTCTTGCATAGAGACACTACAGTGGGCGAAGTGAAGGCTCTCAAAGAGAAATGGGGCTTTGGTGGATTTCCTGTCACTGGTAAGTCATACACAGTCCATCCTTCAATCGTAATGTTTCTATGATTAGCAAATTTACAAATAACTTTCGTTCATCCGTATTGACCGTGAGGTCATGGGGAATCAATCTATGCTCTTTATGATCAGAATTCAAACACGCATATCATGTTTTCAGGAATTTTGGAAAAACACCTGAAGCTAACATGTATGAAATAGAAAACGGCAAATTGGGCTCCAAGTTGATCGGCATCGTCACCAACCGAGATATCCAGTTTGAGGACAATGATGATATCCCAGTCTCTTCCGTCATGGTCACTGACCTCATAACTGCTACCCATGGCACGAATTTGGTAGAGGCCAATGCCATTCTTGCCAAGTCCAAGAAGGGCAAGCTTCCTATCGTGGACTCTAATGGCAACCTTGTTTCCATGATCTCGCGATCTGATTTGACCAAGAACCTCCATTTCCCTCTTGCATCCAAACTCCCTGATTCAAAGCAACTCATCTGCGCTGCTGCGATCGGTACGCGACCAGAGGATAAGACTCGTCTTCAGAAGCTGGTTGACGCTGGCTTGGACATTGTCATCTTGGATAGTAGTCAAGGCAACAGCATGTACCAGATTGAGATGATCAAGTACATTAAGGAGAAGTATCCCGGCTTGGATGTAATTGGAGGTAATGTTGTTACCCGTGAGCAGGCTGCTTCACTCATCGTTGCTGGTGTCGATGGTCTCCGAATCGGAATGGGTAGTGGAAGTGCATGCATCACACAAGAAGTGATGGCTGTGGGTCGTCCTCAAGCAGCCGCTGTCTACAATGTCAGCTCTTTTGCTGCTAAATTCGGCGTTCCTTGCATGGCGGACGGAGGTATTCAGAATGTTGGTCATATCGTCAAGGGTCTTGCACTTGGAGCTACTACTATCATGATGGGTGGTCTCCTCGCTGGTACTACCGAGTCTCCTGGCACATCTTTCGTCAGTCGCGAGGGTAAGCTGGTCAAGGCCTACCGTGGTATGGGTAGTATCGATGCCATGCAGGACAAGAAAGCTGGAGCCGGAGCCGGAGCCAAAGACAGCCAAAAGAGCAACGCCGGAACTGCCCGTTACTTTTCTGAGGGTGATAGCGTTCTGGTTGCACAAGGTGTTTCTGGAGCTGTTGCTCATCGTGGTTCTGTCAACAAGTTTGTTCCTTACCTCGCAGCCGGCTTGAAGCACTCTCTTCAGGACTGCGGAAAGAAGAGTCTAGTTGATCTCCACGAGTCGGTTGCAAACGGCACCACGCGTTTCGAACTAAGAACCGCAAGTGCGCAGTTGGAGGGTGGTGTAAATATGGAGAGTTACGAGAAGAAGCTCTATGCGTAGACTTACGGGGTAACTCGAATGAATTTCTGGTTTAATGGTGCACAAAAATGGGTCAGGATGTATATGAATGGAGTTGAGGGGTACGTGGGTGGGGGTTTTTTCTGCCTTGATATCAGTGAGATGAGTTTTTTTTTAAAAGAATGAAATTCAGGAACTTCATATTCGAACATCTGAAGCATTTCGTTCTGTGAATTTTGTTTTCATCCTTTGACGACCGACATTGTTGCCATCTGCACAGCCTTATTCTTCCCACCTGCTTTCGAGTTCCCAATCTCATTTCTCAAGGTACACAGATATTGACAGCCTCGGGAACATACGAGTTCATACGGATGTAACTGGTTTACTGTCAGCTGACTCTCTAAATCCGGGTTACCTGAACCTCGGTGATGGATTCCTTCTGCGGCACAGTCGAACACCAACATCTGTGCCACAGCCCAACAAAATGCCGCCGCAAGGTTACACTTCTTTTTCTTTCATGTTAGAAATGACAAGCAGATTCATCCTCGAAATACCATTTTCTCTGGAATTCCCATGCTCCGAGTACCCGGATAACAGCTGATTCGCTACGATATCAACTTAAGTTAAAAGCTGTGAGGATGAAGAATCATCACCTCCACATGGGTTTGTGGACCGGCAGCGCCTCTCAGCCTCAGGATCCTACCAAGAAAAAGCTTTCAATCCCAATCCTTCTCGGCGAGAACTCCTGTTGGCGGCAAGGCAGCAGTAAGGAGCATTACACGTTGCAATTTGTACGACTTGAAGGCCTGGCCGAGATCGAGTCTTTTCGAGTCCGTCTAGATCAATTGATCACCTGGATCCAGGAAAAGGAAAAGTACCCCAATGGAATCCTCTGGTTTTATGTTTCAGTTTCAAACGAGACATAATATATGTTGTTTCCGACAGCCTACTTGTGGTTTCATCACATTCGATGGTGATGGTGGCTGCATTCAGCTGGTGATGGCCTTGTGCTCCAGAGACATGGGCAAGTGCTGTTGGCTAGAGCACCCCCAATGGGAACTCTTGCCATGGAATTTTACCAAGTTCGTCATGAGAAGCCTCAGACAAGCGTTTTTACTGAGGTCTACTATGGTGTTATTTTCTTCTATAAAGTTGAGATTCATTAAGTCTCTTCCAAGCTCTAGAATTTGCGGTCTACGTACATAAGCAATTTGGAGTTCAGCGCCGCATGGCTTGATTGGACCAGCTCGGTACATTTGCAAAAATAATCTGACAACTCATCAGCCTTATTGGGCGGGTTCCTTCCCTTGCGTTCATCTCATCGTCCTATTTCCTTCTGTCAACATACTTGATGTTACGTCGTTCGCTTCCTTCATCGCTTATCTCGTAAACTCTTACCCCCCTCCTTGTACCTGCATACCACTTCACGCAAGCAAATCCTCCCGAAGAGAATTCACTTTGAAACAAATTTCTCCAGCGTCCAAGTTAAATTTCAAGTGAGCGACTTTTGCTAGTGGCAATCTCCCTTGACCAAAAATGGCGAATACCCGCTGGTGGCTAGCCCATCAGAGGTCAGGATGCGAAAGTATTTTCCGATCCTACTCCTTCAATGGCTGGCTGGCTACCTTTGCTATTCCTGTGGAACGCAATTTCAGTTGGATGTCACGTTGGCGATGAGGGGATTCCTTCAGGGCAAGGTATATAGTTGACCTTCTTCTTTCCTTTGAGCAAACTCTTACTCTTTCAACAACACCAACAGCAACCAACAGCTACCACGTTCCTTTCTCCCCCACGGTCCTTTTCTCTCTTTAACACATTCTTTTTTGCACTCCAATTACATTCATTTCAAGCTTCTCAGCTTTTCAAATTCAATCTTTTCAACTCTTTACCAAAATCTTACGAAACATGTCTTCTGCCCGTGCCTTCCTCGCTGTTCTCGCTCTTGCTGGTAGCTCTTTCGCTGCTCCTGTAGCTTATGATGATGGACAATAGTAAGTGAATCTTTTTCTCGCCTCCTTCGGCCGTACTCCCCAAGTCGTACATCTTTCGCTCTGGCAATTTCCGAAAAGAAGTAAGCAAGTTACTGACTTTGTTTTTCAGCCATCCCCCAACCAAATTTGATGACGGTTCATGGGATGCCCCAACTGCTGTAGCCCCTGTGTCTACTCCCACCAAGGCCCCGGCTCCTATCACCACTCCTGTTACCACTCAAGTCAAGCCTGTCACCACTCCACCCCCCACCAAAATCACCTCCATCGTCGTCAAGCCCACCACCACCGCACCCAAGCCAGCTCCCACCGTTCCATCAGGCGGCAACACCTCCAACGGCCCCTCAGGCACCAAACAACACTACACGGGCGACGGCAGCAGCTGGCCCTCTTCCGAAAAATGGCTCACCTTCGACACCCTCTGGAACCTCAACAAAGACGGGCTCTCCAAGGGCTGCGGGAGCGGCATCAAACAAAACACGCCCGAAGAAATCCTCGCCATCCACGACGGGATCCTCTCCGAGAGCAAATCCACCGGCGTCGACAGCCGCTTCATCCTCGCCGTCATCGTGCAAGAATCCCACGGCTGCGTCCGCGTCGGCGCCACGAACCTGGGTGTCAATAACCCGGGTATCATGCAATCCCACAATGGCCCCAATGATTGTACAAAGGTCGGCTCCGGGCCGTGTCCCAAGGAGAAGATCGTGGGGATGATTCATGATGGGACGTTTGGGACGGCCGAGGGGAGTGGACTTAAGCATGGGATTGAGTGGGCGGGGCAGAATGGGGCGACGAGTGAGGCGCAGAGGGTTTATTGGTCGTCTAGACTTTATAACTCGGGCGATTTTAGTTATAAGAAGGGGGATGATTTGAGCAATCCTCCTGATGCTACACCTGCTTACTCGAGCGATATCGCCAACCGTCTTTTGGGGTTTGTGTTTTAAGCGAGTTCTTCCTCTGTCTCTCTTTTTTCATCTTGGATTTGGAGGGGCGACAGGATGTCTTGAAGTTAGTGAGTGGGTGATCTGGACGGGTTCTGGGTTGGGTTGGAAGAACCTGTACGAGTTTCCTTGCGTGCTGTAGAGTGGAAGCTACTGGTTGGAATGGGCTTCTCCGACACTTTTGTACGATTTTGGCATTGCGTTGTTTTGATTTGATTTTTTTGGATTTCTGCATTTGATCTTTTTTTCGCTTCTTTTTGGTTGTGGTTGTTGTTGTTGTTGTTGTTGTTGTTGTTGTTGTTGCTGTTGTTGTTGTTGTTGTTGTTGGCATGTCTACGATGGGTCTTTCTCGCTTGCATAGAAAGGACCCTCCTGAATACTCTTTCTTGGTCTTCTGTTCTGGTTCTTCTGTTCTGGTATGGCGGCTTTTTTGGGATGGGATAGATTCAGTTTAGGAAAAATACATGGGATAGGATAGGGGTGAGGATTGTATGGATGTACGAGCGTTAGGTAGTTAAGTCACTGGATTGATGGTATTTTTGTGTCTATTGTTTTTTTTTTCTATTGGTTCTTGTAATGGGTATTTTCTTATGTATCGTTATCCAGTCTGTAAAAGGAAATGTCATCATAGCCGCGTGCCTCCAAGTGTGTCAAAGATTCCAAATCCTTCGATCCTCCTTTATCTTACGAACCCTTAGAACCTCTCGCTAAGCCATATTCTCCACTCTAATCGCATACCCACCTACCTACACCAACCTCTCTCACCCCTCACAACAAATCATCCCCCCTCAACCGCCCACTCACCCCAAGCTCTCCTCTGGTACAGTACATCCCCATCCTTCACCCCAAAACGCGATTTCCCCACCGTCCAACACCGGGTAGAAAACCATCCTCATCGAGTACCTCCGTACATGAGTTTTCTCTCTCGGGAGCGGCGGAGGAGCCAGTCGGTGGTTGGGATGGCATTCCTATCTCGGAGTCTCTCTGTAGAGTTTGGGGAGGGGGGAGTTCTGTGGGTGGGATGTTAGGATGGATTGTAGGGGGAAGGGAGGGGAGGGGAGGGGGAGGAAACTTATTAAGATCTCGGAAAAGAATCTAAGCGAAGCGAAACTGCTAGCGCTTAAACACTCTTAATACCTCTATATTCCTATACTGATTTCACTCTTATTTAACTACTTAAATAAAATCCTTAACTTATACTATACCTTCCTCCTTAACTCCTCATCACCCTTTTCCTCCTCGCGAACTCAGCAAGCGGTCTTCGCCAGCCCCAACGATATAAAACGCAATCATTCCACAGCGCCGCACACTCGAGCTTGTACTGTACGCGAGAGGTAGAAGCTCCGCGAGATACCAGATGACGTTTCGGACTACGGGACGGGCAATGCTTGAACGACACGACGCCCCAGCCCACGGTGGCAACGCAGTGGTAGGAGGATGCCATTTGCGCGAGGAGGTGGAGGTATTGCACTCCGTCGAGCTTAGTCTTTCACTTATAGGAGAAAGAGGGGACTCGGTAAATCGACGCTAGGGCGTCCGCCCCCCCCCCTGGCCTAATTGAAATCTTAATTCACTATAAAATACCTAAGTAACTATAGACTTAAGTTAGTACGTAAAGAGTCTAGATAGTTCTTATCTTCCCCTTACTTATATATAGCTTATTATAAATAGGATATTACTCGTACCCTATAATATAACCTTCTAAGCTAATTAGATTATTCGATTATTATAGAGGTATACTATATTAGAATTTACAAAGTAGTAAGGGAGAAGGGAGGGGAGACCCGAGTTATAGTCCCTTTACCCTCTTTACTAGAAGACGGGCGTATAATATAGAGAGGCTTACTAAGGGGCGAGTAGGGCTCTAATACAAGAGTGGTCTATTAGAATAGAAGCGTCTAGAATAGGACTAGAGCCTTCTATAGAATATACTAGTACTAGTTAGTACTAGATAGTAGAGACAAGAGACTTGTCTTATATTATAATAGTACCTTAGAGGGGAAAGTAGAGTTTTTTAAATAGTTATAAAATAGTTCGTAAAATTAAAACTATTATAAAACTATTTCTAAATAATCTAAAATTATATAACTATTTTAATTAAAAACTATTTATTATAAAAACTATTTTACCTTTTATACTAATATAAGATTATTTAAAAGATAAATAGTCTAAAATTTATAACTATCTAAATATAGAATAATCTTAAGACTATTCATAAGTATAATAGTTTAAATTGATAATAGTTTTAAGATTAAATAGTTTTTATTTATAACTGTTTAAATATAAAATAGTTTTAAGAGTATTTTACATATAAAAAGTCTTAGATTTATAACTATCTTTTATATAATTAGTCTAATTTATAGATAGTCTAAGAAGTATTCTTCAATACTTATGAAATACTTATAAAACACTCCTAGAATAGTTTTAGAATATAGTAGAAAAGTACTCTATAAAGCTATATATAAGGCGTAGAGCTATAGTATATAAGCTATATTAAATACTTAGTACTACTGTGACGACACGCACAGCTGATGGACCGCGCAAGAGTGCACGACTACGTCAGGTATCACGAGTGGTGAGATTGAAACTGTGGAACTGTCTATACGAAGATTCTAAGCTGAGGAGAGAAGAGAAGAAAGGACAGAAGCTCAGGAGCTGGAGGCTCTTATGTACAGGAGGTGTGCCAAGCGCACCTGCTTAGCCGAGTTCCAGCCAGGGACTGGTCTGGAGCATGGTTGCCGCAGGGCTCCAGCCAGGGGCTGGTCTGTAGCGTAGTGGCGGTCAGAACCGTCACAACTACTCTTATATACTTACCTCTGACGCTATAAAGATATAAGTATTAAATTTAGTTAATTTAGCGAAATTTTATAAGCGCGTATTATAAGCGGTCTAATATATAGTATTAGAGATAGTAGTATAATTAGATAATCTCTTAACTTAATAATATATAAGGTCTATACATATAAGCGCTTAAGCGTAGGCCAAAAGTACCCTGTATATCTATATACCCTACTTATATAATTATATATATACCTAGAAGTAGGATTTTAGAATAGTCCTAGAATACTCTTAGAATACTCTTAAAATACTCTTAAGATAATCCTAGAACACTCTTATATTTAGGAAACTATTCTTAATTATTTCATTTATATAACTATTTAATATCTAAAACTATCTTTATATATAAACTATTCTTTTTCTATTCCTTAGTAGTTTTTCTTTTTAGACTAGATTCTATATAAGACCCTTAGATAAAAGTTTCTAAATAGTCTAAAAAATTCTACTTTCCCCTCTAAGGTATATATAAAGTGGTTTATATATAAAAGTATCTTCTATCTATTAACGAAGAAAAGATTTCTATATCGTAGATAAAGATTATTTAGTAAGCTTAGAAAGAAATTAGTTATAATATTTTAATAAGATACTAGGTGTATTTTGTACTTGAGGGCTAGAGGCTTATTACTAGCCTAGTACGTAATAATAGTTATAATTAGTTGTAGAGAGTGAATAGATATGAGAGAATTTACTATCTAATACTCTTCGCAAGATATTAGATATTTTTTACTAATTAGATATATAGCGAAGGATACTTAAGGCTCGTTACTTACTAACGACTTCTATATAGTTAAGCGAAACCTATAAATATATATTTAAAGGTTTACTACCTGATGATCTCTAATACCACCTAAGTATATTAATATCTCCTCCCTAAAAGAAATAGAGAAGATTTACTTATATACAATTATGATATACTTAAAATATAAAAACAATATTAAATAAATATTTAGGTTTCTAAGTATAATTAGAATAGATATCTATAGAGGATTAAAATAACATTCATCCCGTAACACCCTAACTTCTTTACATCTATATCTACATCTACATCTACATCTATTTCCTTCCCCATCCACCCAACCACCCACAAACCAAACCCCCATTAAAAAAAAATCCACCATCCAGTTTACATCCCCCTTCATCTTCATATCCTCACACCCCACCTCACCTCAACAACATCCATACATCCCTCCCTCTCTCAATCCCCAATACACACCCGTCTCCATCTCCACCCATCTACTCCCAAACCCAGTGTCTCACTCACTCCAATCACTCCAACCACTCAGATCCTTAATATAGGTACCAAAGCCCCCTCCCATCCTTCAAACCAAAAGAAAAAGAAAATAAAAAGCCCACACAGTGCACACATTCCACATCCTATGATCCCCACAATTCCATCTCCATCTCCCACATCACCATTCCATCACCATTCCATCACCATTCCATCACCACTCCATCACTACAAACCAGTGTACGTACGTATATACATGCGCACCACCTCGTATACGTAAGTACCTACCTACCTCCTTCCACTCCTATCCCAAAAACCTTACGATTTCGCTTATACGGAGGTACAGTAGTAGTAGGTAGGTCGTCACATTCCACATTCCACATTCCACCACCTACTACATCTAAATACATATATACGATATATTCTATTCTCTAAAAACAACGAATCCAACAAACGAACGTACTATACGATAATACGTAGTACGTATAGTACCATCTTCCTACTACGCTGTCTGTTACTTGTATTATAGTAGTTAGGGGAGGTAAGTCTCGTCTAGAAACAAGTGTCGTATAAAAACAAGTGTCGTATAAAAACAAGTGTCGTGTAAAAAACAAGTATCGTTTACGTCCTACAAAAGGTCTTTCTATTAAAGTTAGTTTTTGTATGTACAAGAGTGGAAGAGAAGGAGAGAGAGGAGAAGAATAAACTTAAGGGAAGCAAGTATCGTATAAGAACAAGTATCGTTTACGTCCTACAAAAGGTCCTTCTATTAATATTAATTTTTATACATATAAAAGTAGAAGAGAAGGAGAGGAGAAGAATAAAGTAAAAGTGAAAGTACTATAGCTAAGAAAGAAGACTAGATATACATTAGACCAAATCAAATTATTTACTACAGTGTAAGCCAAATTCTTACTCATTATACCTAGATAGAAGGAAGTCAAAGGAACATGATTTATTGAAAAACAAATATAAAGAAAGACTTTCATGATTTAGTATATAGTATCTGAAAGATGATATTCTTTTGACTACCTAGGTACCTATCCCCCTTTTCCATCCATTCCTTGACCTAGTACCTTAGACACTATATACTACACTACACTATCACACCCCTTCACCCCCTTCACCACAACCCCTTCAACCCCCTTCACCACAACCCCTTCAACCCCCTTCACCACCCACCTAGCAAGCTTACACCTCAACCCTCTCACCTTCCCTTTCGCCTCAATTACCCCAGCCAATATAAAAGAAAACAAACAGAAAACCCCCTATTTCCGTATTCCCTATCTGCCAGCCCTGTACTGGGGGTATATAACAACAAAGACAAGAAAAAGGAAAAAAGGGACTTGCGACTTGCTCCAAACAAAAGACAGAAAGCAAGAAAGAGAAAGAGAAGAAATACATTATTACATAGGGAAAAAAGCAAAAAGCAAAAAGCAGGGGGGAACAACAGCCCATATGCATGCGTGCTTGCTAAAAAGACAAAAAAAAACTCCAAATCAAATCAAACCAAATCACAAGGGCGACAAAGAGGGTTCCATCTCTTCCATCTCCATCCTATCTTATTCTCTTCCCATCCAGCCATCGCTGCTGCTCATTCCTCCCATGATCCTTCCGGAAATCCGCATCTGTCATCCTCCTTCTCTCCTCAAATGCAGCCTTCTCCTCTTCGCTCAGACTGAACGCCTTCTTCAACCACCCAAACGCACTCCGCTTCTTCTTGACCTTCTTCCCATTCTCCGTCATCGTCGTCATATCGCTCATCATGCTCATGTTCATCGCACTCGGGGCGCGATTACGATTTCCGAGCTGTGAAGGAGTATGGCTACCATAGCGGAGGTTGGTTGTAGAGCCATTACTGTGAATCTGTACAATTTCATCGGGTGCAGCAGTCCAAGGACGCTGAAGGGGCGAATTGGGAGAGGCGTTGACAGGACGGAAAAATTGTCGTTCGGATGCGGGAGAGGGGAGGAATTCTTGGGTGAGGATTGATGGCGCTACGATTCGTTCTATACCCCCCACTGGCCCTCGTGGTTGTGAGTTTCGATCGGGTGCTCTTTCCGGAATTGCTGGAGGGGGAGGAGGTATACGTGGGGAGTTGAATGCTGTTGAAGTTGGGGTGTTTGTGACTGATCTGGGAGGCTGAGGGAAAGTGTTGAATCTCGGGGGAGGTAAAGTGGTATTTGGTGGATTTTCGGGAGATGAGGGTTTCTCATAATCAGAACAATAAGCAGAGTCGAGACCACGTGAAGGGGGTGATTTTACAGTGGTTTCAAGTTTATGCGGTGGTGGTCTAGAGACCGATTTCACCGGTTGTCGAGGTCCCCAATAATTCTCATCCGATGGTTCTTGTGGTGCTTTGATGGTGATTTCTGATGGTGTTTCTTTTCGTTTTAATGAGAATCGTTGACGTAGAGAGGCTCGCTTGCTGATTTCTGGGCGAGGGGGTTCCTGTGATGGGGCGGATTGCAAGGGCTGTGGTGGGAAGGAAGGCGCTTGAGTGACCTTGGGTGAAGGAAATGGACTATACGTGTGCGGCTTCAAAGTGAATTCGGGTTCTGGTTCTGCGAATGCTAAGATTGATTCTTCATCCGATTCCTCTTCCGGCGTTTGTTCACGCTCGTCCACCAGTTGAAAGGCTGGAAGTGCCGCTCGAATGGCAGGGGTGATGGGGCCCGGGTCGGTCGGAAGTTCTCTGGACATTGATCTTCGCATCTGTATAGAGGGCTGCCGAGAGCGACGAAGAGGGGTGTTGGACGTCGGAGATCCTGTAGGTGAAGACATGCTGAACTATCTCAATGGTCAACAAGGAATATCGGTGAGGCTCCACGGTATACATACTCGGTATTTTCTGCTCACTTCCCCAGCACGCTTGTCCATTTCCGCCACGGTGGTTCCAAGTTGTACCAAAGCAGCGGCCAGGTGATTACCTTTTGTCTGTAGTGATACATAGGCTTTGTACCACCCCTCAACGTTCCCTTTCATGGCCTCGAACACCTTTTGCATGTCGGGGCGTTCTTGTTTCCACAGCTCATCCTCCTGTTCCTCGGCCAAATAAATGCTAAACTCCTTGCATGCCTCTATCCCTTGCTTCACGTCTTTCAGGCCCGCATTCATAGCCATGGCCGTTCGCTGAATACAATGCTCAATCTTTTCGTTTCCCGTCACAATCTGGTTTCGAAATTCCCGGTCTTCTAGCATCCCGTCGAAAATGGTGATATTTGCCAATGGCAGCTGCAGCATCTCCAATCGTTCGTCAATGTCCTGTTGAGCCAGGTCGAAATCCTCCAAGGTCGTTTCTATCGCCTGATCTACTTCATCGACATGACCTTGTAATATGTTGATCACTTGGTCTTCGTCTCTCGCAATTCCGTTTAACAACAGGTATATACCAAATGAGATCTGCGACAACAACTTCCAGAATTCATGATATTTCTGACCGGGTCGTCTCTTCCATGTCCCGGCATGGACCGGATCGTTCACGTCCTGGTCTAATAACCGTTTCCTCCTCGCCAGGGCGTCCCTTTCGATTTCGGGCTTGGAATCGACTCCATTGGCCACCTCTTGCATCGACTCTGCGAAAGCCTCTTGCATGGAAGGAATTGGGTGTATGGGAACATCGAGCTTGGGCTCCTTGTTGGGCTCTACCCTCTTCGGAGAGCTCTTTGCAGGGGCCATGGCTGTTGTGATGGGGGCAGAAGTGACAGTCGGAGAGCGCTTGGGAGTGGTAGGCGTAGGTGTGGGCGTCGGATCAGGCTTGTATTGGTATACCGTTGGGCTCAATTGAAAAGTTGAAGATCGCGAAAGATCATTGGGCTTGAGGAGAGTTGGGGAATCGGGGGTGGGTTCCTGATCAACTCCATCCTCGCCCTCGGAATCATCGAGATAGAAGTTCATTGCTTCAAGCGGGCTAGGCCAAACAGGCCAGACCAAGCAGACAGGGGGGAGCTAGCTAGCTGCAGGTCCTTCCAGGAGCAATGCAGGATGTTGGGGTGTTGGGGTGTTGGCCAATGCTAGGAACGAACCTTAGTTGGCCTGCTAAGGCTTCTAAGGGGGTGTGGATGGGTGTGGGTGCTGTGCTGCCAACCAGCCAAACCTGCAAAGAAGTCAAGTCCAGTAGCCGCTTCCCAGTCGTCCAGGTCCGGGCGCGCATCGGTGGGCGTGATTTCCCTTGATTCCGACTTTCCAAGGCGACAAAAAGCACTTGAGGATGGCACCAGAAGCGTTCTCTCGGGCTTCAAAGGCTTCTTCTGCAGAGACGTGTCTCAAATTCAATCCCACGAGCTGCCACAGCGAATCAGGGCGGCCAACGGGCGTGCAAGGTGGAAAAGGAAGGGGCTGGCTGGCTGAGAAAAGATGGGACGAAATGCCCGGCGTACAAGGAGGAGGCCTGTAAAGGGCACACAGCCGAGGCGTGCAGCGTGGCAGCACCAAGAGATGGCACCACAAGCACAGTGGTGATGGGATGGTGAGAGTTTGAGGATACCTGCAGAATGGTGATGTCGTTGACCGTAGAGTGTGAATGTGAGTGTGAGTGTTTTGATGAGTCGGTACAGGTGTAGAGAGTATAGGTATAGTAGCGTGGTGCTGGCTGGTGCTGGCTGATGCTGGCTGATGCTGGCTGATGCTGGCTGGTGCTGGCTGGTGCTGGCTGGTGCTCAAGTGGTCTGGTCGGTCACTGGGGTAACTCTCTCGAAACTGTTGCTGGTATGGCTAGACGGAGGCTCCGGGCTGAGATGCGTGGGTACCAAGTACTTCGTACCAATTTGTCGTAAATGCTGAGTACGAGCAGATCGGCCAAGTGACTGCTACTGCGAATTAATATTTGGCTTTGGGTCGGAATTAGCAGCTAAAGCATATCAACCTCTAGAAATGCATCTGTGGAAGTAATTGCTGCCACTTTCCAATGCCAATGGCAGTAGTAGTGCCAGTGCCTGAATGGGGGACACAAACTCAACACTAGACGCCACACCAGACACTCCTCCGTATACAGGACGACCTTGGACTTGGGCTTGCTCAAAATAGCTGCTCCTTCTCTAGGCTGTGGCCTGTCAAGAGTTCCGTTGTTCCACCAGTTCGTCCGTTCTTGCAGATACCCTTCTGCGCAAGGCAAATGTTTTAGCTTTTCCACGTTGCCAACTTGCCCTGGATCTCCTTGCCGCGGGTCGAGCAGAGCGCAACACTAACACACAGCACTGCGCAGTACAGTACACAGCAAAGATCGTCAGGGCAGGGCGGGCAGGTCGGCAGGTCGGTCTCTCGTTGGTGTCAGTCGGCTGTTTTGAGTTCCACGCTTAGGAGTTGTACTCCGTATTTCTTTATCCAGCGGCGTGGCGTGGTGGGTGTGCTTCGTGTGGTCTGAGGGTGAGTTGTGTTCAGATGGGGTGTGACGTGAAGGAGGAAAGTTTTCTGTTAAAGACAAAAGATGGGATGCTTTGCTTTGCTTTGCTTTGCTCGAAGGAGAAAAGTGAATGCGAGAGACGGGTCAGTGTCGGTGAGGAGAGAAAAGGGACAGACACCCTACTCCCTACTCCCTACGCCTAGTACACCACAGCAAATGCCTCCACGTCCACGAACTTGATCCGTCGAGTCCCATCTCTTCTCCAAAATTGGGCCGGCACCGGCATCAACCCACGGTACAAAGAAAGGCCACGAGGGACCAGGTCAGGTCCCGTAGCGCCAACATCTCGAACCATAAATTTACCGTAAAATCTTTCTATTGCCCCAAATCTGCTCTGCTCTACTTCTGCAGGCCAAGAGACTCCTACTGGTACTTTCACACCTCTTCTCCTCAGAAAGCAGGTAAAAAATACCTCTACCGGTAATTGACCCCCCTCGATAAGCTCCAAGCAGCACTCGTCTCGACACCTGGGCCCATTCCCGCCGGCCGACCTTCGTCTTTGGGAAGCATTTGGCGGGGAAATTATTCAATTTGGCTTCCTGGCCTGTCGCGTCCCTGCCCCAATTCAAATGGCTCCCCATTGGGAATCCTGGTCCCCTGGACAATACTGTACGGATAGCGTACCCGCTCAGGGGTAAGACTTGCAGTACACTTTTGCAGTGCAGCAGTGCAGCACCCCTGTTCGTGAATGGGATGTGACAGGATGTGACAGAAAGTCTAACCCAATGAGTTGTGAGTCGTGACACAAGCTTGCGATACGCCGTTCATGGGGGATCGTGGGGAGGAATACGGGATGGCGAGGGTGAGGGAGTGCTGAGACTTCTAGAACGTGTGAAGTGTTTCTCCCAGGTAGAATGTTAGGGATCGGCTTCATATATACGGATCTAGAACCGTAACATCTACAAGTACAAAAAAAAAACTCTCTGGAGAAACTGAAACGAAAAGACACCTCCTCAAAAAAGAGTTCAGATGCTGCACTAACTCCGTACACCACACTCCACTTCGGCTCATGAGGTACAGCCCCTTCGCAAAAGTAGCAAGAATCTAGGATATCTTACTATTGTATTACAGGGTATTTTGCAAGGTATTTTGTATGTGAATTGCTGATTCCCACAGTTTCTAGGGTCGCGAAACATCTTGCTACTTTTGCGAGGGGGCTGTACGGAGTACCTACACATCTTTTATGTCGAGTTACTTCACTTCACATACACCCACCACAGCAGTGAGTACGTAGGTACTCAGGGATCGATCGGCCAAGCTTATATATGTAGGGGACGGAGGTACGAAGAACGGAGGTAACAAATAAGTTTTCTTCGTAGTTTTACTTCTTCTCCCCCCCCCCTCCTTCCCCCATCTTACAAAGTACTTGTACGATGTCATAGAAGGTTATTTTCTAGTGTGACGTGGCTCCACATACCACATGCTTGAAGTACGAAGTACGGAAAATAACCTTTTGTTTTGGGGGGGGGTGAGAGGTGGCGGGGGGAGTTCTACTTTAAAGAGGTAAGTTTACTTGAGGTAAATTACTTCGTCCTAGACGAAATGCTTCGAAATAGAAGTAAGGAGTAAATAACGAAGGTATAGTTCCCATGGAGATTCTCCACTGTATACTCCTCGGAGAGATTCCATGTGTACTAAACCTTACTACTTTCACATGTACTTCTACTTCCATACTCACTTCTACACTTGTAACTCCGTATTCGTATTACAGTAGTAAAGCAGGCACAGTACTCCGTACACCTCTAGTATAGTACACCCCCACCTCACTCCACCCTACTCATCCTCTCCTCTCCTTCCCTGCACTTCTCCCTCCCCATATAAACCCTACCTAGGTAACCTACCTACCTTATCATAAGACTCCCTACTGTAAGATTACCTAACATACTTCTATATATCACATCACATCACATTACATCACAAGTGGAGATACTAATCCTAACTCCCCGACCTCAAACCAAACTTAAAACTCAAAACTCGAAACGTAAAAGTCGGGGGGGGNGGAAGAGGGGGGAAATAAAAGGACGAAGTATAGATTTGCTTAGCTAATCTAACCTACAAGTAAGCTACTTCGTAACTTTACTTGTACAAGAGTAGAGGAACGAGAAGAAAGTATTAGAAAGAAGTATTAGAAAAAAGTACTTTATAAAGAAGTAAGAAAAAGAGGGTCGACTAGCGTTTGTTTTGGTTTTGTTCGTGGAAAGGGAGGGGAGGGGAGGGGAAGAGAGGGGGGTGAAACTTGGTTGGTTGGGTTGTGAATATAATTCCTTGTATATGTACATGTATATGGTAGGTAGATGGGTAGGTATGGAGTGATACGAACAACGAATCGAAACAAAGTTGTACAGTACCAGTACAAGGAAGGAAGGAAGGAAGGAAGGAATACACCCTCTATAAAACAAAACGAAACGAAACGAAATAAGACGAAACAAAATAAGACGAAACAAAATAAAACAAAATAAAATAAAACGAAACATACTCCATACATACTATAGGAAAGAAGGTAGGAATAAGCTTGGCTCCTACTATACTAGTTCCTGATCTCGTGGAAGTAGTACTAAGTCATATAGTACCTAAGATCTTAGAACGCGTATATATATACTAGATATTACGACTCTAGCGCGTAGTTTCGCCAGGCTAGGAATGGGGGTCTCGCGATTGTAGGTAGGTAGGTAGATGGAAATCGGGATTGTGAATACGGTAATATGGTATAAATATAGAAATAAGTATATATACGAGGGTAATATAATATACTTCTCCGGCTACTCGTATTCCTGGCGAGTTTGGGGATCTGTATGATGTCATGTGTGAATTTTGTGAGGGCTGGTAGTGTGGTGGTGGAAATATGAGGAAATAAAGAGTGTATAGAGGTAAATTAAGGAATTGGTTATTTGACTTTCGTATCGTATTGCAGATACTGAATTTGGGGGGATTATTCGATTCGAAGGTGTTTTTGGGGTTGTAGGGATGGTTGTGTTATAGTTTTGTTTGGGAGTAGGGGGGATATGTTAGTGTTAGTGGAAATGGAATTAATCTAGATAATTAGTATAACAGCACTAGTAAGAGATATATCATCTCCCATCTCCCTATTATCTCCCAAAACGTCTTTCAATCCTCCGTGAGGGACTAATATATAACCACCCATTCCATGCGTGCCTTTCGCAAAATTAGAGCTGCCAAGAAGCGGTGAGCGGGATCCGAGAGCAGAACCTTTTTTCCATCTCTGGATCTCTGAAGTCTGAAAGGATTTTGAATACTAGAAATGGTGTTTGTGGATATAAGAGTGATTTCGTGTTTGATGGACTTGAGGAGGTGATTAAGAATTGTAAGATACTTTGTAATATCCCTGTGAAAGCACGAAAAGCAGTAGTATACTTACACTAACTAGTGCTGCACTAACTTCACACTAACTTCGGAGTTAGTATAGTACCGACTTTCTAAATTAACGTATTTCTAATAATAAATAAAAGTTAGTATAATACCGACTTTCTAAAATTAACGTACTTTTTAAAAAATTAATCTTTTTATAATTTAAATTTTAGTATTCTAAAATATTAAGAATAATAAACTATATCCCTTTACTAAGTCTAAGTACTATAATACGCGATTTGCGCTTTCTATTTAATTATTACTATAAGAATTCTCTTTTCCGCCTTATATTATAAAAGGCTCCTATTTTAATTATATAGCGTATATAGCTCTACTTTTATTTATATTATACTAGATTCTAAAAACTACTTACTCTTATTATATACTTTATAATCAACCTTTATTCTAACACTGTAGTATATAAAGCTCTACTACTTTCTATTTTATACTTAACTTTAAAAACTACTAACTATTTCTCTTCTCCCCTTCTTTTTAATATATAGGATTAATAAGACTTCTATTTTAACTATATAGTATATATTACTTTATTACTCTTTATATTATACTAAATTCTAAAAACTATAAACTTCTTCCCTTCTCCTTAACCTTCTTATCTTATATAAAAGACTTTTATTTTAATTACTTAGCGTATAACACCTTATTACTTTCTATTTCGTGCTAAATTCTAAAAACTATAAACTTCCTTTCTTCTTCCTTTCTTTTAAATCTTATATAAAAAACCTCTATTTTAACTAAATAGTATATATTACCTTACTACCCTCTATATTATACTAGATTCTAAAAACCTATAAATTCTACTCTCTTTCTTATCTTTCTTTTCTAATATAAAAAACTCTTATTTTAATAATATAGCGCGTATAGTCTAACTACTTACTATATTATACTTAGTTTTAAAAATTATATTATTTATTTTTTAGTATTACTACTAGCTAATTATATTACTAGCTTAAGGTTAGGTAATATAACTTTATACTTTTTTATTTTTAAGTAAGCTTATAATATTTACTTACATATCCTATCTATCTTTACCTTTATCTTCTATTCTTACTTTTAAAGAAGAATAATACTAACTTAATATTTACTTTTATAATTAACTAGTATACTAAGCCCTTAACAATAGTAAGTAAATAGCTATAGTAACCTATACTAATATAGAACCTTAAACTTAACTAGTATATTAATTCCTTATACTCTTAAAACCTTATCTTTTCCTATTATTTATAATAATAATAATAATACTAATAATAATAATTACTACTACTAACTCCTACTTCTACTACTACTACTAACTCCTACTTCTACTACTACTACTAACTCCTACTTCTACTACTAATACTAACTCCTACTTCTACTACTAATACTAACTCCTACTTCTACTACTACTACTAACTAAGATATATTCTTAGTATAGTCTCTTTATATAGTTTTATAGTTATATCACTCTTTTTAGAGGTCTATTTAATAAAGCTACTACTACTACTCTTGCCTACTATACTACTAGAAATAGTTATATTTTTACCTTCCCTCTCTCTCTTTAACTCTACTACTAAGTATTAGTTCTTAATCTAATTAAATACTACTATACCTTACTAATATTATATAGTATAGTTCCTATAGCTACTACTACTACTACTACTACTACCCCTGCCCTAGCCCTAGCTCTAGCTCTAGCTCTAGCTCTAGTACTACTACTACTACTACTACTACTACTAATTCTACCTACTACCCTGCAACGAATAATCAAACTGGCTAACTAAACTTGGCTGGGTGTTCGCTGGTTGGTATGCTATGATAAGAAGAAGACTATCGGGTTGTTTACTTGGAAGTGAACTCGTTACTTGTATCAAAGATGTCAAACTAATATGATAAGATTGATAACTAAGTTGAGCACGAAGCTATTGGCTGGGTGTTCGCTGGTTGGTATGCTATGATAAGAAGAAGACTATCGGGTTGTTTACTTGGAAGTGAACTCGTTACTTGTATCAAAGATGTCAAACTAATATGATAAGATTGATAACTAAGTTGAGCACGAAGCTCCTATCTAATGGCAGACGTGCCAGTCTTATATAGATCCTTTCATGTTCGTGGATCGTACTGGATCATGCAGATCTACGCTCCTGGATCGTGGATCATTACGATCCAAAAGATCCAGGTCACGTGACCTTTCCAATCAATGAAAATCCCTGGATCGCTTAGCTGGTCTAAGGATCCCTTTCTGCTATAAGAAACCTGGGTATGCCTGCCGAGGGTTGCGCCTCTTATTATGACAAGTATCACGTGAGCACGTGATTCGTGACACTAGAACTTAAAAATAGCTATTACTAGTAGTAGTAGAAATAGTAGTAGTAGGAATAGTAGTAAGGGAAATAGTAGGTTTTAGAGAGGTAGCGCGAACTACTTAAGGGGATAATATAGAGGGCTAGAACTTAAAAATAACTATCGCTAGTAGTGGTAGATATAGTATATTTTAGAGAAGTAGTATAAACTACTTAAGGGAATAGTAAGAAGGGCTAGAACTTAAAAATAGTAATAGCTAGTAGTTATCTTTATTAAAATAGTAGGTTTTAGAGTAATAGTAATAAAGAATACTTATAGTATATATACTAGTCTATTGATAGAATTTTAGTTTTTATTAGGCTTTTTCTTTTATTTAGGAGTAAAAATTATTAGATTTCTAGACTTTAATAAAGTTAGTATTTTACTAACCTAGAAGTACTAATTTAGTATAAGTATACTATTTATTTAGGTAGGATAAAGTAGGTACGGCACTAGTTTTTTAGGTCACTTTACACCCGTAGGACCGATTTTATCCTATAGTAATTAGGGTCGGTATAGCACTAGTTTAGGTAGGTGTCGCACCTACTCTAGATTAGTGCCGCACCTACCCTAATTACTATAGGACAAAATCGGTGCTACACCTACCGGGTGTTTCACAGGGATAAGCGGGATGAATAGAAGAGGGTAAAAACCAATGAAAAACTTATTTTATTTTACCTATAACGAAGGAGGAGGTAATATATAATGTTTGGTTAGAAGGGGGTGTATTTGGGACGTATATATATCTCCTGAAGATAGCAGATGTACATATGGAATTTTAGGTTAGCGATACCTACTTAAGTATTAGCACCCAACAATACCATGACTTGATTGGTGCGAAGCAAGTCGGACTAAACCCCGTAGCATTATTCCGATAGGTCCAACCTCTTATATAGGAAATCGCAAACCTGAAAATCGAGATGTACCTCTGTTATCTTCAGGAGAGAGAGAGAGATATATATATATAGATAGGATTCAGACTCGTTTATGTATGAAAAGAAATGCTGGTATTTCATAGTAAATGAATGAATTCTATTTGTATCGAGCTTTCTCTAGGATTGCTATCTAGATATTAAATAACTTGACTTGACTACTCCCCAGTCGTGTATTGTCCGTGTCGAATGCAGGCTTTTTTATTGCTCATAATGATACTTGCATCCTGTGCAATAGATCGTGGTGGTGCCAGTGTCCAGTCCAGACACACCTCGAGAGCCTGATGTCATTCGCATGTCGGGATGCTAACCTGGAGTCATTTGTTAAGTCGAGACAGTAAAACAAACGCGGGAAAAACAGAGGAGGAAACGGGCGAGATATTGTTCAGTTGAACCAGCAAAGATCAATTTGTGGTATGAATTATTTTTGGTGAGGCCAATGGGCAGGGGTGTTGAGAATATCGATGAGACTTGTTTCGCCAGGTCAGATTGACGGTCGTTTTGTTCAGAAGCGACTGTAGACGCGAAATGTCCATAGCCATGACCAAGGGAAGCTGGGGTCCGCTCATACTGTAGATGTGTTCTCGCCAGTACGCAGTCTCAAAACCTAAGAGATATTTCTCTAGCATTTCCTCATTTTCTCCATCAGACTAACGCGAACTTCCTCCGCAACCGCCACACTTCTTTCCCACAACTTCATTTGTGAAATTGACTCGTTCTCGACGTCGGCATGGTCAATCGTCGAGTCATAGAAAATGACCTCAACTTCCCTCGTAGGGGGACATTCGGTAATTCCAGCGACTAGTCAACGTCAGAACTGGCATCCATACGCAGGACAAGATAAAGAAAACTACTCCGGTCAAGATAATCCTGGCGGATTCCCGAAAAAACCCCGACATCTGGGCTGATATATATCTGCAAGCGCTCCAATGGTTCCTTCTTTCGCTCAGCTAACAAAGAGAAGACGTAGTCGCACAAGCAGTAGTCTTCCATGTGAATACGGCTTGTATAACTCAACTGTGCAGTCGTCCTCTTTCTTAGCCAATAGCAGAATAGGTTCGGCGAGGTAAAGGACCAGGTATTAGTTCGCCAAATGGTTTCCATGATCTCGATGTATGTTAGACGACACAAAGTGAGTATGCGCATATCTAAATACTCTGCACGTGAATTCAATTCAGAGCAGGCCTGGTGCCGGTTCCCCCAGCATCGCATGTCTGCTTCGGAGCGCCATTCCGTGGATTTCTCGTACGCTGGACATCGGAAGCGCTGGTAGGCATGGCTTGCGGTTACTGGCGATCGGCAGATTAATGACCCCCGTTCGTCAGTAAATTCTGGCTGTATCACGTGGATGGTATTTTCTCCGATCGCGAGCTTCCAGATTTTCAATCGCAGCTCGATGGGTAAGCGGATGAGAGCAGAGGAGGTTGCGTTACGCTCGTAGCTAAAGACAGTCAGCATATTAGTCGTCGTCAAATTTCGAGGTGGCTTACATGGCTTGTTGACGGGGCGTCATGGGCGCATCAATATCGAAGCCAGGTCGCTGCTGAACTTCGTCAGAATGTACTGTATCGCTTTGCGTGGGAGGCATTTTGGAAGACTGGTGTTGATGTTGACTGTGATGGTGGTGAGATGGATGGAGTTGAAGTGGGAGACGATCGAAGCAGGTTTTTTATGACGACCCCTCGGTATTTAAAGGCCGCAACCAATTCACTCTGACGCTCTTCATGATAATTGTTAATAAATTTGGCTTACTCACTGTTCTCTTCCATTCACATCGTTTCGAGATCTCAGGCAGGCAGTTATTCCTTTGCAGACTCGGAAATGTCAGTCCGAACTTGAATTCTCTCAAGTCTAATGACTCCTTTTCCAACATTGGAGAGAAGGCAACATCACAACAGATATCGAGTCAATAACGTTCTGCACTATGACTGAGGCGTGCTAAAGTTTATGGGGGTACACGCAAATAATGTCTTCCTCCGAGGAGTAATGATTTTATTGTTGCAGTGAAAAGCCCACGCGGCACTTACTCATCTCTAGCTCTAAGCCAGGACACAGGAGACTGGGTATCAGAATTATTCATCATCGCTACTCCACCTCCTTCTCAGAGTCGCCTTCCTTGTCGTCTCCACTTGTGTCCTATCCCTCTCTTGATAAACCTATTCTCTCAATTATCGGCTACCATTCAGTCTACAACTTTCCTCTCCATCATCTCTTTCTCATCCTTCAACAAAATCAGATTCCCTAGGTCTCAAGCCAACCAAGGCGCACAAGACAACATTGATTATCATATCAAAATACGTATCAATTGTGAAAGGCTATTCTCATAACTATCAGCTCTCATACATCCCAGTCCAAGGAAGTAAGAAACCATGACGCACCTTGAAAATTATCGAAATTCCATGAAGTGAGCCTTATTGAAGATGCCGGCGAATTCAAGTAACAGATTTTCTGGAGCGAAAGAGTCTATAGCGTGGTTCTTGTGCTGGTGTGGTTATACTCTACATGTATACAGAAGTGGAATGATTCTAGAGGTAAGAGAGGCGGGCGTTACTCTGTCCACGCTATCAATAGTTATTATACCAAAAGTCTAGTACAACTTAATTTGTTGTCCTATTTTACCTAGCTTAGTAGAGAGTAAAAAGTACTAATTATTTTAACCTATTCGTATAATTAATTTAGTTATGACCATTCTAGTGGAGATCCCAACTGTGTGAAGACGAAGCACCTCCTGAAGAGCTGACAATAATATAGGACAGGATGTCTTGACCTGTGACATGTCAAGTAAACGAATCTTTAAACCGTTCTTTTCTTCGGTTGTGATAATCTTGGATAGTTCCTGGCGACAGTCTTCCAATGCAATCGGGTCTGAATACAAATGGTATGCCATCCAAAAGGTCGAGGGCGCGGTATTACTCAATACGGCAAGAGCTCCGCCGGTCTCGAATCTTGCGATGTCTTCAACGGGTATTTCGTGCTCGGTGCTATGCTCGAAACGAGCTCTGACGAGAGCGGATCCTTGAATATGACCTCCTTCGAAGTATTGAAAAAATGCCTTGACCATGAGCTCACGACCAGCAACACTTTCTCTGGCAAGTACCGAGGGAAATAGCTCCATTATCATAAGCATGATTCCAGGCTGAAAATCCCTGCGGGCTGTCAGTCATTGCACCTTCACATCGGAAACATTGATACGTACCAAAAAGCCTTCTCGATTCTGGGGTCCTTGAACGGATTTGAGGGCCCGTAAACAGAGTCTGTAGTTGCTAGTGTAATCTCATGCTTGATAAAATCGAATAACCGAACGACCTTTTCGCCTTTCTGGTGAGCATATAGTCGACTCATAGAGTCTGTGACCTTTTGTGCCATGACAAGATTCATGGCATCAAGATCCGGTCCCGGTGCTAATGGTGCGAGAATGGTCTTGTAAAAGGTCATCGAGAATCCCCAGTTGCCCTCATCACCGTTGACGTTGGTGCTCAAAATTTCGTTGGCAATTTTACTGGTAGCACACAATCTCATCGATGCATGAGCTTCAATGGGAGGAAATGCTAAAGTCTTGTATTGTCGTTGAACGACTGGAATCAAAGATGTTGAGTTGACAACATATAGTCTCGCTCCTGGAAGGCGGAGAGTGTAAATAGGAAGATTATGTTTTTTGCTGTGAAGACCGGCAATTAATGTTGATTCCAGTTATTGGCATTGAAGTAATTTCAATTCATATGGAACTTACCTAGTCTCAACATAGTATCTGCTTTTCTTCCGAGTCAATCCAACAATGGTGCCAAAAAATGGAAACAAGGTTGGTATTAATGGTGGCTCCTTTGAAGCTTGCGAATAGTGCAGGAACAAATGCAGTGACCCAAATATTACTATCGCGACCGTCGAAAGTGCTGTAAGTATGGCTGGCATGATTGCAGTATCTGAACTCTTGCGAATAAAACACTTAATGGAATGCGGGCGCCGCAGAGATACTGTATAGTGAGCAAGGAAATGAGGGCTGGATTTCCTGTTGGCACCAACACAACCATTATTTATTCACTGCCAATGAAGATGGGAGCCGGTAAATCGACTTCCCCAGCGCCTAACTCCCAGACTTCCCACCCACTTAGTAATAGAAGGAAACGCAGATCCTAATTGTGCGGCTTAGGTACTGCCAGTCTATAGAATGGAGTTAACTCTTGTTGAATTATACTATTTCTTTTGGTTATTTTTTACTACTCTTCAAATTCAGGTAAAAAATTGTATTATTTAGCATTTGAAGGTACCGTTTGAAGCGTGGCTCCAGTAGTGATATAGAATTAAGTTTAGTATACTAAATACTTGTGCCACGTATTAAGCGAGGGGAGGGCGTCGATTTACTAAACCATCAGCAGAATATGTATATAACCTAACGATCACTTTAGAGTTTGTTTTGATTTGATATATTGTTTCAATCTATCTCTAGCTACCCTAAGTCCCCGGGGAACTGAGTGAGTCGTAATCAATCCGTTATCGTCGAATTGAGATGATGACGACGATGACGATGATGATAGGGCCGGGTGGCTTGGATCCGCATTTCCAAATTGAGTTAGTCTTAGTGGTAGTAACAACTCCAACAGTTGGTTTTCTATCCAACAAGTTTCTCCTCCACCTAACAGCAGGTACCAAATAGAATCGTTTGAAAAGCCTGAATCTGATCCGTCTTTCAAGATAATAAGTATCCGACTCGAATTGGGCACCGAGCCTCTGTTCGCTTATGAAAGTTCTGTTCTTTCTCCTTCGCCCGCTCGTATTGCCGACGGTACATGTATTTGTGTAAGCATCCTATCGATAGAATCATTCGGAAAAAAAAGATAGCTAGTTTGAAACAGCAACCAAAAGATAACCTCCGTTGTTCCTACAATTTTGTGGTCACGGATTTTCTGTAGCAGGGCTTAAACATTCCTTTCTTCACTTATGGATCAACATTAGAAGCTCAAATATGAATGTTATATCAAATTATTGGAAAATGACAAGGCAATATCGCTTTTTAAAACCTAATGTTTAAAGCCTATTTAAGGTTAATTGCTCAGAAGTTTATTCAAGCTTGAGCCAAGGTTGCTCCTATTTGGCCTTTAGTGGGAGATCGACGCAAATCACGCAACATCATTCTCAACAAATCAACGACCATACTTCCCAAAAGTACGAGTGCATTGCAACTTCACCTTTTCTCTTCTGCAAATCGATGAACTTGAAACCTGATGACCATGTAGGAATGCTAATAATAGACTCACCATGGAGCACGCACGGCCGGTTCGTCCCCTCAAAAGATGCTCTTTACGTAGGTACAGTACCAAGCCGTGCCAGCCCAGCCCCAGGCACTCCAGCTGGAGCCAACGAATCGTCCCATACAGGTAGGTAATACAGGTACGGTACCCTGCCACCACTGCCTAACGATCCATCTCATTCACCATACCTAGCTTGAATAAGTCCAGACTTTCGTTTCTCCCCTTTTCTGCTTCCTCCGCGTTTCCATCTCCATCAATCCACCCATCATCAACCCCTTTTCCAAAGCAAATCGCAACCATGGTAGGAGCGGCAGAAACACACTCTTTCGACCTCCCCGGCGGACGCTCAGTCTCCTGGTCAGAATACGGCACCAAAAACAGTCCTCATCCACCCGTCATCTTCCTCCACTCCTCGCCCTCCTCGCGCTATGAAGGAGAGGCCCTTCACGCATCAGCGCTCTCTCTAAACCTCCGAGTTATCTCCCCCGACCGTCCAGGCATCGGATTATCCTCCCTAGATCCAAATCGAACATTCCTCACCTACCCCGCCGATATCCTCGCCCTAACTCACCATCTCCATGTCGAGCGATTCAGAATGTTGAGTTTGAGCGGTGGTGCACCATATCTTCTGGCTTGCATGCGGAGGATACCGAGGGAGGTACTACTGGGCGGCCATGTTGTTAGTGGGGTCTGGCCAATGGATTTAGGGACTGAGGGTATGGATTGGATGAGGAGAGGACTGATGTTCGTGGCTCATTTTGCGCCTACATTTGTTGGATCGATGATGAATTACCAGATTGGTGCTGCTGCGCGGGACTCAGATACTTCCAAACTCGAGGCTTCGATCACCGCACAGGCGAACAATTGGCCAAAGCCAGACCAAGAGGCGTGGAAGAGTGGGAAGGTGAAGAAATACATGATGCAAGGGTTACGGGAAGCTTTCAGAGATGGAGGAACTGGCGTAGGATTGGAGATGGGACTTTATGCTAAGGATTGGGGATTTGACTTGGAGAGTGTTGATACGAGGGGATTGAAAATTTGGCATGGAAAGTTGGATACTACTTGTCCGTTTGATCAGGCGGAGAAAGCGGTGGATTGCTTACAAGGCGCGAGATCGTTTTACTACGATGATATGGCGCATATGGTGATTGCATATCACGCGGAAGATATTTTGAGGGAGATGGTACCGGTCGGGGGCGAGCAGTTTCCTACCACGCCTGTGAAGTCTCCCGTGGATATCAGAATTGCGCCTCCTACTCCTACGCCTGTCCCTGCGACGATCGCACCAGCGGCAGTTCCTGAAGCGATTCCTGATGTGCCAGCTGTAGTTCCGGAACAGGCGAAAGCGGAGGAAGCTGCTGCGGCTTGAGAGGTGTGTTTTATTTGGTTTCCGGCAATATACCCATATGTACAACACTGCAATTTGCTTTTTGATTATATGTTCACCTTGACTGCACTTTCCATTTCTCACTGCTGTCTATATGCCGTCTAAGTGGACCAAAATGATTAAAATGCACTGAGTTCCTTGATACCTGAATTTATCAATCCATACTTACAATACTTATGACGATCTAGAATCTATATATACTCAACGGGAATTCCGTGAAGCAGCATCCCTTTTTCTCAATTGCATGTTATGTAATATTTCGATGCCTCCGTACACCTTTCCGCGCCTTAATTGCGGGGGTTCTATTGTTGTACACGTTTCCCAGGTTGCATTTCAACCTTATTGACAGGGCATTCAGAAGCGAAGTACCCAGGTTACACCAAAAGGTATGGAATCTTTTTATAGTCACCGCATTTGAGATTCCCAATTGACATCACTGAGACGCGCATCGCGGCTATCAGACTATGGTTGATTAGTATGTAAAAAATAACCTGTCTTAGCATGGCTTAGCATTCATCCAGTTGGAGGCTCTTTGAGGCTGTTCACTGCACCAACACTAAACTTTTACCCGCGCCAATAGGTTGATTTTCCGCGCCGCTTCTCATCGCTCCTTCTCAAAAGGTCCTTCTCAAAAGGACATTCTAAAACACCCTAAAACAAAGAAGAAAATCCCTCCATCATGGCATTTTACATTTCACATTTTCTCCTCTCTCAAATTCCCAATCACCACCATCCCGTCGTCCCCTAAAATTTCTCCAACTTCCCCATCATTCACAAACCTAAACATCACACTCGTTTATCTCCAAAACCTCGGCACCTGTACGTTCACCTTCCTCCCAAAGTAGACTACTCTCCGCCTCCCCACTCGACTCCACCAAATACTCAAGCTTTCAACCACTTGGGCAATTTCCAACAGGGATTTCAAGGTTTCCAGCACCCACATAAAGAAGGCGACAAGGCCGCATTGGGTCAGATCGCAACCTCCGATCTCATTGCCAGTAAACGGGCCAAACCGAGGTAGAGTGGAGTAGAAGATTACATGCGCATAAACGCACCGTCTTCTCTTTTTGTACTCTGTTCGTTTGCCTGGTGTCAACTTGTTCATTGTGGAAATCGTAGGTTTGTCTGTCAAGACGCTTCGTGCGAGTACTTAATTGGGGATCTTCGCATCGCATATTGTGTTTGAGAGAAGCGCAAATCAAGCACTGCCCGCGTCAGGATCTAACGACGACATACGGAGTACGAGGGCGCGAGGAAATCTCCAGAAGCTGATAAGTAATACATTAATTGCGATTGCGGTTAAAGAGGACAACATATTTGCAAAAATGGTGCGACTATCGAATCCGCTGAAATTTGGAACGGACATTTGGGATCCAAGTCATCGATTTGAGACTTCATGGCTGCTATCTCCCTGGGCGTTATTTGCTTGTAGAGCAGCAATTGTACGTTTTCTCTATAAATGACTAACGGTGTCTGTGGGATTGTGCTAATGTTGTTCTAGTCACTCTATGCATTTGCAACTATTTTCTTCATAATGGGCTGGGAGGGAGGAAATCATGATGGATTGAGTGTGCACGACATACGCAAATCATTTTCTTTCTTTACAGGTACGTCTCACCCCACACCTCTAAATTGCGTAATTACTAACACGAAGAACAGTTCTTTGCTACTGGGGCGCAGCATTCTACTTCCTAGCTGCCGCAATACACACCTTCTCCTACGCACTCAATGGGGGAACACCCCTCCTAAACCGTCTTCCTCGACCCCTCCAAGCACTCCACTACCTTTTCTACTCCACCATAACGACCTTCCCCTTCCTCGTCACGATCGTCTACTGGGCCGTCATCTTCCCCTCCAACGGCGCATTTACAAGCACCTTCGGCCTCTGGTCCAACGTCTCCCAACATGCTCTCAACGCCGTCTTCGCGCTCTTCGAACTCCTCCTCACACGCGTGAACCCACAGCCATGGATCCACCTCCTCTTCCTCATCTTCCTGCTCATTGGCTACCTGGGTGTCGCATACATCACTTACGCCACCAAGGGGTACTACGTGTACGGTTTCCTCGATCCCCGACCGCGTCAGCTGAATGCACAGGGTAGGAATGTTGGTGGGGTCGGCAAAGTGGGTGTTGTGGGGTATGTCCTGGGGATTGCGGTTGCGATTTTGGTGATCTTCTGTATTTCGAAGGGGGTTGCTTGGGTGAGGAAGTGGGCGAGTGAGAAGAAGTTGGGGATGACGGGGAAGTTTTATGGGGGGAGGGATGGGAGGCAGGGGGAGGTTGAGTTGGAAGCTGTGAGGATTTGGGAGAAGTGAGGGTCGCTTTCTCACTTGTAGAAGAGGAGATGAGAGAATCTCATGTGAAAAAACGAAAGAAAAGATATTAATAATAATTTTTATTGGGACGGGGGTGGAGGTGGTGGAGAGGTGGAGAAGAGCGATACATGTATATACGCGTATATGAGCGGGTACTGGTTGGTAGGCTACGAGCACATCGATGACTCGGCGCAGCGCAGCGTGGCGTAGTGTAGTACATTATATACCCCCAAATTCTCTTTTTCTGTTACTTTTTCTGTTACTTTTTCTGTTGTCTGTTTGAAGCATGTGAGGTTAGGATTGTCTCAAGAGGGGGCGCACAACGACAACAACCTAGATATATATAGATAGAGATATAGATTCTCGAGTCCTTTTACAACATAAACTAGTCACCCTGAAAACTACAGCGAAAGAAGAAGAAAAGGTTAAGGGGTTAGATGGGAGTAATTGGGGAGTTGATGAAGACTGTTTCTGTGTCGCTGTGTCGTATTTGATTAAAAGATTCGAGATGGAGTCTTCTCGTAGGTGGCGAGGAAAGATAAGACGAGTGGGAGATGGAATTACAGTATTGTTGTGAATTGTGAGAATTTGAGATAATTTATATTGAAATGAAGCATTTCTTTTTGTATCTTGGCGAGTTTTGTCGTCTTGTCTGGAATCTCTTTGCGCAGCTCCGCAGACATGGATAGTCTGTATAGAGGTTAAACGAGATGCTTAAGACAATTAAGATAAGTACTCCGTAACACGGCGCGCTCTCTGGTGTATGTGGGATCAGGACTCTGAGGATAACGTGAAATAAAAGGAAGTGAAATGATCTTTGTAGGTTAAGTGTAAAGAGTGATTTATATCGAGATTTTAGAAGTGAGGAGATGGGTTTCTGGGGATTTCTGGGGGGGTACGAGCGTTACGAGTAATATAGTAGATGGGATGGATTAAGGAGTTGGTTCTTGTGTTTTGAGGGGTGTTGTTATTTATATTAGAAGGGTAATTATATTTTCTGCTCTAGTGAAGCTTAGAGTGGTTTTTCTTAAGTAAATTTTTATTTCTCTATTTTTCCCAAGAGAGGATACGCAATAAGGGAGTTGGGGTTTGTTTTGATTTTGGTTTGGAGAGTTAGTTAGGTTTACCGTTTTATATAAGGAGGTAAGGGGAATAGAGAGTCAGGAAATAAGGAAGTGAAGAAGTGAAGAAGTGAAGAAGTGAAGAAGTGAAGAGTTAAAATTAGTTATAAATCATCCATATATATTTCTAATGTTTAGATATAGCACTATGTCGTAGGAAAGTGCCTATATACGTATCCTCACGCTTTACTTACTTCCGCTAACTATAAGCGATAGTACTATAGGAAGACGCACTAACTATAACCTTCTATCTACCTAGTATTCTGGGGTTATTGTATAAGTAGCGCTTAGTACACAGAACCCACTCCATGGAATTCCAGGTGGAATATTCTATATAGAATAATTCTAGAGTATCTTCAAAGTAGAATAGAATATTCTATTAAAAAGGCTCTAGAATTTAATAGAAAATAGAATTCCGGAGGTTATTATTCTAACTAATCAGAGAGCAGTATTTATAAGGAGTGAATACTAATTAGGCCCTATTTACTTAGTATTTTAGAACTTTACCTATATTCTACCTAAGTAAAGGGTCTAGAGCCCCCCTCCCTCTCCACCTTTGTTACTTTCTAATATAGGTCTCTACCTGAATCGGACAATCCAATTAGCTGTTATGGTGGGGATCAAGGAATAGATTGTTCGCAAGGAGGGAAGAGAGACGCTCTTCGCACTCCTTAGGTATTTGTCTATCTACGGAAGGGTACACCCACAACTTCGCTAAGCGAACCCTTATTCACTAAATCAAAAACTGTCACATTAGCTTAGAGGGTTATACTATAGAGTTATACCCTGCCTATAATAAGTTGTATATAGGGGAGGGGGCGACGTGAGCCATCTAGACCGGCCTTACACGTACAGGTAGATTCTAGGCTTCCTATTGGTCAACGGAGCGGACGGACTTTTATCCGGGTCATATAATTCGGTTCCATGGAATTCCCAGTGGAATAGGGAGTATAGTATTGATTATTCTAGACCTTCTTATAAATGAAATGGAATATTCTAGAGGGGGGTTATGGAATAGAATGGAATTCTAATTGCCGAGCGCTGCCTATAAGGCTCTACCTTTTCCCTTAACTAGCTCTACATGCTTATTTTATCCCACATTCTACTATAACAGTGCCTTATTCGTCTTCTGATAGGTACCCCTCCCCCCTAAATTCCTCTTTATCATATCCATTCAACAGTATAGTACAGTATAGCACCCAGATCCTTCACCAAACTACTTCTCCTTGGGATCGCAACAAGAAACCTTCCCATTATTACCCGGCCCACAATTATCGAAGCCATTCGGCGCGTTGGAAGTATCGAGAACCGTTCGCGTGATCTGGAAGTCAGGCTCATTGGGGTTGTTCATGCAGCAGAAGGTATTCCAGCCTTGCTTTTCGCAACTCCCATCGCCATCTGTGCCCGTGTTGCAGTATTGTTTCGATGCGCTGGCCCATGCGGCGAGGGTGGTGATGAGGAAGATGGTATGTTTCATGTCTGGGGCGGTTGGGTGGAAGGGGGTGTTAGATAAGGGGGTGTTAGATAAGGGGGTGATGGTTGGTGGTTGATAATTGATGGTTGATAGTTGATAGTAGTTATTAGATAGTGTACTAAGGGTATAGATATAGGTGAGGGGTAGGCGTAACGAGTCGATTGATTGTTTGTCGAAGAATTAGGAATTTAGGATATCTCGACGTTCTTATAGACGACTGGTTAGCATGTGATCACGAAGGCTTATTCCGATGGAAAACATGGGTATGTAGCGAACTCTAATACAGACGTAGAAGCACGTAGAAGAAACTCCTTTTCATGCGATACAAGACGAATACTATGTAAAGCTTATACCAGTACGATGAACATCAGAAAGAGTGCGTACAAGGGAACTGGCTATAGAATATACTTCTAACTCGGTACTATATCCCGACAAGGGAGTCGTGCCGAGGCGAGTCATGTGATAAAACATGGTAAATGGTGGTACGTTTTCAACTTTTCATACATTCTTTTTTATAGGGGTAGTAGAAAGTGAACTCGTTAATAGAGGCGTACTGTTATGTCTTGGAGCCTATATTTTAATTTCTAACCAATTATTCTATGGTAACTCGTATCTCTCTTATGCATATCACAAATTTATCCCTTCTAAGTAGTGTATATATATCTAGGACTTGAAGTTTATAATTTTCTAGTTAAGCGAGAATAAAGAGAATAAAGAGTCGTTCAAGTATAATGATACTAAAAAGTTAAAGGAGGTCTAGTCAGATAAATCTAAATTATTAGTAACTATACCGACTAGAGTAATACCTAGCCACGCTACGGAGTCTCGGGCCGACTTGTTCTATAATACTTAAGTAGTACTAACGGTAATATAACCACAAGTACTGTACCAAGAGTCAAAGCGATTGTGAAAGACTCAGAATCGTAGATACACCTATACTACGTCGAAGGGATATTGTAAGCTCTTAGTTAATGCGATGTATTCCAAAGGTCGTTAGTTTCTCAAAAGGTGTCTTGGACTTGTACAGTGAATTTAAAGCTTTTAGCTGAATTCCATTAGGGGTTCGCCAGCAGAAGCTCTTTCGATGGTAAATGTATTTTCGATGTAGTGTTATAATTCAGATTAACTCTTTGGAAGTCCTAGAAACTCGAGTGCCGCAAAGAGTTGGAATTTTTTTAGGGTCCGAACGTGGTTCCGCGTTAGATCTAGCTGATGGTCAGAGAAGAATCACGTATCCTGATAATCTGCGAGGACAACATTTTTGAGTATGTGAAAGATAGGCTTGTTGGTAAACAGGAGTGAGTTCAAGTAGTACTCAGGTTCCATATATTCCTGTTCTGAAAATGCTTTAATCTCAGCTCCCAGACCCCTTTACAAAGGCTTCTAGTGAATTCAGGAGACTAACGTGACAATTCTCGCTTCTGTTTCAGTACCTAAGCAGACTGTTAACATGCTAATACTAAGAAGGCCTAACTATTTCTTTTGAGACTAGACTAAGAGCCTAATATGAAGAGCGCATTCTTTTACTTCTTCCTAAGCGTAACCAGAACATCCTCCCCCTTCACTGGAGGCAGAACACCCAAAGCAAGCATTTTAGTATCAATCTTTGGGAAATCCTGACCACTAACCAAATCCACCTCAAAACGTGTAAGGACCAACGCAACACAAACAAGAATCTCCTTCATAGCAAGCCACCGACCAGGACAATGCGTAATCCCTCCACCGAAAGGTCGGAAACTGCCACTCTTGCTAAGCTCCTTATTTCTTAGGAAGCGTCCAGCATCGAAGTCTTCAGAATGATCGCCGAATATGAGAGAATCGAAATGTAGTTGGCGCGTTGGTGCGAATGCTTTGGCGCCTTTTCGTAATGTTACTTTGCCCATTTTGGTGTCGATAAGACGTCACGGACGGTTACTGAAGATGTTGTGACGCGGAGAACTTCTTGGTAGAGAGCTATGAGATGGGGACACGACTCGAGACGGCTGTCGAGACCGACCATGCCGGCTGCTACTGCGGGCGAGACTTCTTTTATTGTGGCGTGTAGTTGGGGGCCGAAAAGAATGTAGGATAGAACCCAGAATAGGTGTTTATATGCATTTCCATTGATACTTGAATTGAGATATTAGTGTATATACCGTGAGTTATATAAGCTACAAGTCACTTACGTCCAGAATGGCCCAAAAAAGAAAGAAGCGATATCTTCCTCGCTTATGCCTGCGCTTCTGAGTTCATCCTCCAAAGCATGAATGATCCAAGCGGCATCTTGTCGAGTGTCGCTGGGGAGTTTGATATAACGTAATATTGCCGCCCGAATCTCATCTTTCGCAGCGTAAACATCTGGCGCTACAAGTCGAGGAAGCTCATAATTCATCTTCCAGCTGTTGTCATCAAAATTTCGAAAGATTTCACTCAGCTTGGGTTCGACTTCATACAATACATTTCCGAAGACTGCTGTCGACACAGGCTTTACTAGAACGGCGTGGCAGAATTCTAAAAGTGAGATGGTTTTTGAGCTTTCGGTAGCCGAGACTACTGTTTTAGGCGATAGACTGGAAACGGGAGAGGGGAAATAAAGGTCCACAGAAGCAAGGCTTGGCAAGGAACTAATACTAGATAGGCTACGTGCACTATGCATCCGAAAAGCGAAAAGTCGGGGCTCGATTCCTCCGCTCCGATTAAGGAGCGCGGCGAGACCGCATTGCTTCATTCCTTTTTCAAAAGCGGCAGTAAAGACCGAGGCGGGTGGTTGTGTTTTATTGCATTGTATGAATAAGATAAGAATATTTCTAGACCCCGGAGAAGTGAAGTCAACATATCTGGGAATTTTGGGAGAGAGCTTTGAAGATGAAGTGATGTTAAAACGAAAGAGAAAATCAAAACCTCTTCCAGGAAATCTGGGTGCTGCTTTCGCTAAAGTCATTCATTGTGACAACAAGGCTGGCTAAAAATAACCAACGATAAACAAGGCTACAAGGCTACGACCGAACCTCACTCCAGCATCAACACCAAATAAAGTCCGCATCTAAATTCCGAGGTCTTCTGAACAAACACCGCTAGCCCCATAACTAAATCCACGGATCTGGCGTACGTCATACTATCTACGTGTAAATAGGCAGAGGCCACCATGGCCCTCCTCAAAATCCCCTCCTCCCTAGAAGACCTCGCCATTCCAGCAGTCTGTACCCTCATCTTCTTCCTCTCCTATACCTCCCAGTAAGCCAGCTTACTCACCTCCTCCCTAACTCTCTGACACTTTCTGGTCACAGGATTCTATTCCATTACCTCGAACCCGGTCCTTTATTGTGGGAGGAGACATTATGGTTCAACGGGTTTGTGCTGTGTATATGGTGGACGTATGATCGAGCTTGTACAGTTGATCCCGCACCGAGGGGATGGGTAAATCGAGTTGTCGGCCAGGTCTTGGAGCAGGAGACTGAGTGCGCCAATACAGGGGTTGAGGAGAAGATTGGGAGTGAGGAAAGTTCTTCTGAGGAAGTGGAAGAAGAGGAAGAGGTGAAGATACCAAAAGGCATGCGCTGGTGCAAGAAATGCAAAGCTATCAAACCGCCACGAGCACATCATTGCAAGAAATGCTCTCGGTACGCCTCGTCCCACTTCAGGCCCCGGAACTTCACTAATATTCTACCCCCAGCTGCATCCCTAAAATGGACCACCACTGCCCTTGGACATCCAACTGCGTCTCCTCCACCACATTTCCCCACTTCCTCCGCTTCGTCTTCTACGCTCTCCTCTCAATATGCATACTCGAACGTCACCTCTGGGTCCGGCTGCACATCTTATGGGACCAACGCTCTCTACCTTCCTACCTAGGACCCTCTTTTTTCGCCCTCTTTCATCTCCTCGTTCTTACAGCAACCAATACTATGATATTAATAGCCCTCCTTCTTTTATTCATTCATGCAACTCACAGTCTATGCACAAACACGACTCAAATAGAGGGCTGGGAAGTAGATCGTCATGCTGCCCTCCTTTCTCGCGCGAAAAGAAATGGTGGTTGGATTACGACGAATAGCGGCGTTAAAGTGAGGATCGTGAGCCAGGAGTTTCCTTATGATATCGGGATATGGAAAAATCTGGTAGCAGGTATGGGAAGCTCTAATCCTATATTTTGGTTCATGCCGTTTGGACCGATGCCTAAGATTGAGGCAGGGATGTGGGAGAATAATGGTTTCGAGGATGAGGGGACGATGTGGCCACCTTTGGATCCTGATAAGATGTCCTCTAATTCTAGAAGAAGTGTGGATGGGAGGGGCTTTTTGGAGATGGATACTAGAGAGGAGGAGAAGGAGGCATTTAAAAGGAGGCAGGAGGAGGATTTTAAAGCCAGGGGAGGTGTTTATACATTTGAAGGTGTTGAATACAGGTCGACGTCGAATATGTTTGCTGATGAAGAGGATGATGATGATGAATTGGAGACCAGAGTTGATGGAGATGTGAAAGGTGGATGGACGAATTCTGAAGGCGAAAGATTACGAGATTTTGGCGTGGATGAAGAGGGGGAAGATGAGGATGATATTCCCTTGGGCGAGTTATTGAGACGGAGGAAGGCTAGAGCTTATGAATCTTAGAGATTGGGTGTAGGAGTTGTTAAGGCATGGAAAAATAGAAAGGTAATTATCCTTCGTATTGAAAGAAGATGCTGAATACATATATTTATAGTTACTATGTATCCTGGTGCCTACGTCAAGATCACAAGTATAAACGTTGAAGCTCTACAGTTGCAATTCTGGGCTCACGTTCCGGAGAATACAAAGGCACTGTACTAGGAGAGAAATATCTTGAGTAATTGAGTGCTACCTGATTATGAGATCTCCCGTAAAATTATCTTTACTTTACCGCCGCTATTTTGGACCTATTATGTGGAATTCTTTTCTCAATCTCTAAGGTGAGATTGAATGTATTCGCCAAAAGAAGTTTCTGTTGTGCTGGGTCTACTTTCTCTTTTGCTCCACTTCCTTATTTGATCCACTTATAGTTCTGCTGCCTAAATGCTTCATGTCTGCCTAAAACTTGCACTCTTTATATAAGCACCTTAGATAGCTACCTTTTACAATGCAATCAATTCTCCATGACCTTCAGTACCCAATACCCTTTCAACCCAATAGTTTCATACGTCGACGCGTCGTAAATCGAGCTTCTCTTTCGGGAGTAGTACAGGGATAAGTATAAAGCAAAAGCGGAAGCACACTGGAAAGCTTCATCATCAATAATCACAATTTCATACCTAACTTTTCCTCTATTCCGCCCGCAGAATATCCCCCCTTCTCCATCTCTACAAAAACTTACTAGCAATCCCCATCAAGCCTCCACTCCCACCACCACCCTTCCCACCACTCTGCAAATAAATCTTCAACGCCATCTCCCCCGCCTGCTGCACGGCACTTTCTTTCTNAAGCCTCCACTCCCACCACCACCCTTCCCACCACTCTGCAAATAAATCTTCAACGCCATCTCCCCCGCCTGCTGCACGGCACTTTCTTTCTTCTCCCCGCTCGCCACTTTACCCGCCGCGGCCTGGTTGTCAAACAGCTTACTAGCTTGCGCCATCGCCATGCCGACGAATGCGTTTTGCGATTGTTTCTGTTCGCCGCCTCCACTGCCCGACTCCGAGCCGCCGACGAATATCTTCAGCGCTTGCATTGCGGCGGCGGAGCCCATGGATGCGGAGGATGCTTCGGTGGTGGATGATGATGAGGAGAAGAATTGTTGGTGGGATTTTACGGCGTCTGGGAGGGGTTAGTGATGGATTTTATTTGTTTTGTTTGGGAAGGGGAGGGGATGTAAATACGTTGTTCATCGATAGGTTGTTGAGCTATTTCTTGCTTGTTTCCTGCAAGGGAGCTGATGATGCTTGCGAACATGTCTATGCTTCCACTGCTGCCGGCGTGTTGCTCTGCGTGGCGGCTTGCGGATTGCATCGTCTCGTCGTCCGAGTCGTAGTCATCTTTTTGGCTAGTGTTGGGGTTGGGGTTGGAGGATTCCATGCTGGCTCCTGAGTAGTATTCTTTTGCTTCTCCGGACATCTTTTTGTTTTGCTCCGCGGTGGTTTTATTTTGATTCGATTATATTTGGTTTGAATTGGGTTGTTAGGTATCGAAGCTGGAGTTGTAGAGCTGAGGTGGAGTGGTGATGTGTTAGCGGGGTAGCTGTGTTGTTGGAGGGGTAAGAGCTTTGGAGAGGTAATATTGGAAGGATAAATAGAAAGCTTCACCTAGTTACCTGTTCGTATTGGAGAATAATTTGTGGTCTCTTGAGTGAATTTAGAAAAATCAGTGAATATGAACTTTTGTAGTGAACAACGATTTTGAATCAGCTAAATTCAACATAACATTGCTTTTTCTATCAAAGCGTGTGAGGTGTTGTCGCAGTTTGACGTCAAGGCCCACGTAATTGCGGGGGTCTCTGTCACGGAAGCTTAGTATCCTTGTTCAGCTGAGGGGTAAAACGGGCGGGTATGCAATGCAATGATCTATATTTACATAGCTTGTTGACTTGTTGGCTTGTTACTGGTTGGAGATGTTGAATATTGCGTTTCGAATCATTGCGGGGTTTTTTTATTGGATCTGGTGGTTGCGATATAGTCTCTCCTTTTGGTCTCCTGGACTTGTTGTGTTTCGTCCTTCTTTTTGTTGTGAAGGTTCAAAGTAGATATTGAAGAATAATCAAGGGGACTTTTTCTGGGTCCCAATACACTGACGCCCCGGCGTCAGTTTAGAGCTGACTAAGCGCGGGTTTTCACGCCCCCCCACCATCCACGAAC